GTTGGAACCAGAACAAAGCCTTACTTGCAGGTATCCATCGAAAAGTAGATTGTAGTTTGTTTTATCTATTTTTATTCTGGGATAGAGAGGTCCACCTCCAGTCAACACGCGCAGCAGGGGGAGGTTTGTGGTGTTTATAGAGGGAGGAGGTCTGGGCAGAGTCCTCTGGGACGAGTTATCTGGTCAGATTTGAGGCGATGCCCACCGAGCAGGACGTGAGGGACTTCCTGTGGTAAAAGCTGTGGAGTACAACAACTCACACTCCATCCTTCTGCGTCTGTCTTTGTCTCCGTGTTACTATCTATTCCACTTTTCAGAATAGACCATTAAGTGGCACACAAACTTTCTACACCAAGAATTAAGCTTTGTTGAAAATGTGGGTTGTTCTTTTTCTTTTGTTACCTGCTTGGCAAGATTCAAAGCATGATTTCAGCAGGAAACTGTTCATGTGGCAACGACAAAAATGAACAACATTGGGAATCTTTACTGGTCCGGTTATATCGAGTTTCACTAACTTTACAGAGGGGTGGGACAAGGGATCCAGTTGATATGATTTTATTAATATCAATGACATTATCGATTCTGCTAATCGATACAATTATTTGTATATTTCCTTATTTAATCCTTAAGAATGTCCTTGTGGGAAAAATAAGCCTTCACCGGTTTTAAGCTTCAACCCAGTAATTGCAGGGGTAGACATTAAGGGTAAAAAGCCACTGGCCCTCCGGGCCGGTGGAATTGTATTGTCACTGGCCCCACCATTGTAACCACTGGCCCGGAGCATTCGTCCAAAAAAAAAAAATCGACTAATAATGAAGAAAATTAACACATTTGTTGCAATAGTAATTTATGCACTAACTACATTACTACTTGTACTACAACATTTGAACAATCAGTTCTTCCTCATTTTCCTCAATTGTTCACATTTGGTTTATTAAAATAATGATATTGTGGTCATTGTTAAAAAATGTCTGCTATTATTATGAGTATTATTATTTGTATAATGCACTTTCTGCCTTCCTGTCATTAGGAGTTAGACATGTAATGGCTATCAGATTAGATCCTTCATTATCCTAAACTGCTGGGACATTTCCCTAAAGCCAATACCTTTATATGTTCTACTCTTCACTTACTGTCAGCATAGGTCGGCATTGATGTACAGAGCCGTACAGAAGACCTTGTTTATATTTGCATCATATTGAGAGGTGCAGTGACGCGTCCTAAAACCAGGAAGTAAGCTGCTGGTTCCCTCGACAAAAAGCAACGGGATTTCTCCACAGGGTTTTGAAAAATAGCTGGAAATAAGGTCTGTGGAAAACAAACCTGTTTGATAAATGCACGTTTTGTTCAGCTGGATAATCTTCACATGTCTACCCTACTTTTATAATGTTCGAATCATAAATCTAATCGATAGATTATAAAAAGGGTTTTAGGATGCGTCACTGCACCACTCTATAGAAGCCAACTCCATCGATCAAGCTGGCTGAAACTTTCTCTCCCTCTTCTTCTCATACTCCCTGTCACTCTCCTTTAACTCATCCGGTGACTTTCTTTTATTTGAAGATTGTTTTTTGCCCGGCGCTTGGCCGGTTACCGCTGGTATTAAAAACATTTTTGGCGAATGGTTAGGTGGCGCGATAGTCTGTAGTGAAGGAGCGCGCTCCCGCTCGCGGGAGCCTGCTCGCGCTGCACTCCGCAGCAAACAGCTGTTTGCTTTTCACCCAACAACAACAAGCGACTCACGAAACGCTATGTTGTAGCGTTAATAAACGAAACAATTTAACTAAATTGCTAGTCAAAATACCAATACCACAGGAAACAATTTTTTTTAAACAATATTTTTAGTGGCCCGAGCGGGCAAGTGGAAAGTACGTTATGCTGGCCCGGGGTGTCTAAATAGTGCTTCCGGGCCAGCGGGCCATTTATAATGTCGAGCCCTGAATTGTATTATTTAATAACAATTTGTTTATCCTGCCTATGTGGCGCTAGTGTAGTTATAACATTGGATGTTTAACCCTGGTAGACATCCTGCTGCTCAGTTGGAAAGCAGTGTCAATCGTGCGTACTGAGTAGAGAGAGAGTTAAATACATGGAATTCCAGGAATTCAAGCCTGTTTTATGTCAAAAGATCTTTCCATGTATTAGTGGTGTAGTAGTGATCCACCTTTACTTGGGATGACCCTTTGACAGATATTACAAGTAGGACTGTTGTCATTTTTCTTCGTGAAATGAAGTCTGCTTGGCCATGACTTTTTGAACGTTTCCAGCAGCGTCGAAGCAGAGTTTCACATCATTCGGTATGAGTTTTCGCAACATGCACTTATCTGAAAACCATGCCTGCGTCAATAAAAATGAAAAACCTCTGAGGCATAATTTTTCACTTAACTGGAATATTTCAAACCGGTTCTCAATTCCTATCCCTATACAAAACCGTAGTGTTAAAGCTGGCACACGATCAATGATTTGCTCAATGACACTTAGGCAGGGCAGTGTTCAGAGACATAAAAGTTTGAGTACCAGTAGTTTCAAACAAGCTGCTAGAAATGTGCTGAAATCCAAAATCCCATTAGCTCCTCTTCTGTGCTTGTTGTTAGGAAAAGAAATGGCAGTAAGGCAGTTTCTGTACTAAACAAGTCTAGACAGAACAGTCCTAATGAGTGTTATTGATAGACATGATAGAACATATACCCATAGAACATAGCCGAGTGAATAACTGCAGTTAAAGCCCCTCAAGAACATTTCCCACGATCAAATGGCGAGTTTCAGGGAACGCTCCTCTTATCACATGTAAATCTTTTGTGATGTCGTGTATTGTGTGATTCACGGTGTACCATGACACCTGAGAAATTCCTTTCCAACTGTCACACTTGTTGGATGAAGCGACTGTATCTCTTTGGGGGGGGGAAGGAAGTTCCTGTCTGCTGATTTTACAGCACAGCAGACTGATAACAGGCTGCCACGCCGGACTATCTAGTTGTATTTCAGGCTGACAAAAGCCAAACATGCCACCCACACTTTCCTTTGAAAAGATGAGCTTAAGCAGTCTGGGCTGAGAGGAGGAAACAGCCGGCTTTTGTTTTCAGTATCTCCTCCTCATTGACATGCTTTTCATACTGCTTGCCCTGCAGAAAAACATGATGCTGAATGAAACTGTATCTAGAGGTATCCAGTGACTTTATAATGATGATAAGACAGAGCTATCTTAATATTGCAGAGTTAAAGGTGTGCACCGTGCAATGCTGGCAAGGCGTGCCTTTGCAAACATCATATAGCTTTGACGTGGGACAATAAAAGTTGACTTTAAATGGACACCACGTGGATAATCTCTAAGAAAAGCGACTTATAAAACTGTTTACCCAAACCTTTACTGCTGGTATTCATCTTGCAGTAGTGAGAGGAGGACTTAAGATTCTTTACTTAAAAGGTACAATGGAGAAACCAGCTCGAGTGCGCTAGAATTTGAAAGTAGACAACCGGAAAAAATCTGCCTCTTCCTTCAGACTTCCTTACAGAGCCCCTCCAACACACACGAACACACACACGACCAATGAGGGCACGAGATAAGTTTGTGAAGGCTGACAGGCAGGTAGGCCATCCAGTTATTTTAGCAGATGAGTGGTCGTGCTTTTTACAGCTTCCACAGACGACATTTTTCTATGTATTTATTGATTTATTGTCATTGCTATCAAGATGTTAAGAACATTCTATGGAATATAACAAAAAGTGTTTCTGAAGTGAATTACCTACCACACCTTTAAGTAAATGCAGGAATACCACAGTGTAAAACTACACCGTTAGAAATGTACTGTAGGTATTTAAGTATTCACAGCTAAATCCACCTAAAGATCAAAAGTAAAAGTAGTAATTTAGCTGACAAATGGCTCCTGTCCCTGATGCAAAAATGAGTATTTCACTAATGTACTTGGTTGAGGTGGAGTTAGGTTTGGTCAGGTGTTTTACAATTCATGGGTCTCGAACAGTCACAAGATACACCTGGGGGTTGTGATTAAAAGGGTAGGAAAGAAGAATCCAAGTTGATTACAACTACATGAAGTTGCATCATTTCAGTTAACTGTTTTGTAATCTTAGTGTTTGTTTAACAGTTCATATTTTGATCTCAAACAGTAACCTTAAAGGTTTCAGGGAATATATATATTGCTAACAAAGCACTTATAAACTAATAAAGGACTGGCTTATCTAAAGCCAGTTGAGTAGCACTTGAAATGTTTTGGCTCTATGAAACCTGATATACTATATGATTCTGTTTTCTTCAAGTTTGTATCGTGTTGGTCGAATGCACTTATTGTAAGTCGCTTTGGATAAAAGCGTCAGCTAAATGCAATGTAATGTAATATACATCTCTAATGTAACTTATAATAACTCTGTCACCTGAAACAGACAAGGGACCAGTGGCGTAGTGAGTTGGGAGAGTTTGAGTTCACTATTTAACAACTATGGATTGTGTTTTATTAAATTATCAATTACCTTAATCTGAAAGGAAACGTATTGCCACACTTATTAAACATGTGGCTTTGAAATGTAGGAGTAAAACTGCTGAGTTTATGTCAAGAAACAAGTAGTGGAGGAATTTAATTTAAAATTGTTTTTTCTTAGATTTGTTTTGTTTCATAATTGTGTTACTTTATATTATATACATTTAAGAGGGTAAGCATGTCCTTTGTACTCAATTTAAATGATGTAATAACTTCAGTTACTTTACGTATTAAGATTGCCAATACAATATGTTTTAAACTAATAAAATATGATGTATACAAAATATACCTAGAAGTAGGCTATGCAAAGTGACTAAAAGTAGCTCCACTTGCAAGTGATGAAGTGATTAAAGATCATACTAAATTTATGAATCCAATCCAGTGATATTATATGTGGGCAATTATCAATTTAAAGTAGCCTTGTAGCGAATACTTTAAATTAAGCACTTGAACGCACCACGAAATCACTTCCATGACTCTTTATAACACCAGGTGAGCTCTTCTTACCTCAGGTGGGCTGATATTAAAGGCTTCTGCTATCTTCCCGTACAGTTCCTTGACGTTGGCGAAGCCCTCGATCCTGCCGGTGGGGCTCCCGTGCGCGAGCTGCGTGTGGAACACCAGTTTGGGCCTCAGGTTGGCCGGTGGAGGCGGTAGACCTGCTCCATTCACCGAGGATTTATTAGCCAAGCTCCCAGCACCTGCGTGTCCGCTGCCGACCTCTTCGTTTTCTACCAAATGCTCCTTCGTCGACTTGTTTTTCTTCCTCCATGGTCCCAACGGCATCTTTTTAGTTGTTTTAGTACGTTTTTCGACGTCGGAAGTTAATAAAAAGTCCGTTGTTATAACATTTGAACCTGTTGAGTCCTCCAACGGTCGTGTTTACTTCCTTCTTTCCTCCGAGATTTCCTGTCTTCCTTCCTTCCACTTTTCCCTCTCCTCACCTGCCCCACACAGATTAGCTTTGTTCTTCGACAGAGGCTCTTGTAAAACAAAAAAAGGTGTAGTGAATATTCAACAGGTAGGAAGGTGGTGAGTGTGGGATAAACTCTGACACAACCTGCTGGAGACTTCAGTCCGCAGCTAACAATAGCTGCTCTGTTTGCCTATCAGCGGGGCGCAGGCGCAGTGGGACCGACCCGGGATCAGCCCAGTGCACCTGTGCTCCATCACAGGAAGGAACAGCGAAATTAGACAATTATTCTGGTATTTATTTAATTACGTGCTGCTGCAGGTAATTCTATGGTGGAAAAATATTTCAGATATTGTACCTGTATCCTACATTTGCAGACTGCACTTCACAGCTCTCCCGATTTTAATTCTGACAAATTACATTTATAAGTACTTTTCTTATAGGCAAGGCAAGGCAAGGCAAGGCAAGGCAAGGCAAGGCAAGGCAAGGCAAGGCAAGGCAAGGCAAGGCAAGGCAAGGCAAGGCAAGGCAAGGCAAGGCAAGGCAAGGCAAGGCAAGGCAAGGCAAGGCAAGGCAAGGCAAGGCAAGGCAAGGCAAGGCAAGGCAAGGCAAGGCAAGGCAAGGCAAGGCAAGGCAAGGCAAGGCAAGGCAAGGCAAGGCAAGGCAAGGCAAGGCAAGGCAAGGCAAGGCAAGGCAAGGCAAGGCAAGGCAAGGCAAGGCAAGGCAAGGCAAGGCAAGGCAAGGCAAGGCAAGGCAAGGCAAGGCAAGGCAAGGCAAGGCAAGGCAAGGCAAGGCAAGGCAAGGCAAGGCAAGGCAAGGCAAGGCAAGGCAAGGCAAGGCAAGGCAAGGCAAGGCAAGGCAAGGCAAGGCAAGGCAAGGCAAGGCAAGGCAAGGCAAGGCAAGGCAAGGCAAGGCAAGGCAAGGCAAGGCAAGGCAAGGCAAGGCAAGGCAAGGCAAGGCAAGGCAAGGCAAGTTATTTATTTATTTATATAGCACTTTTCAACACAAGGCAATTCAAAGTGCTTTACAAAAAATGAAAGAGATTAAGAAAATGGCATTTAAAATCAGTCATTAAAAAGAAAAGCTAATAAAATAAACATTAAAAGAAAAAAATACATGGCAGTCAATTAAACATTAAAAGAAAAAAGTACATGGATAAAAGTTACAGTGCAGTCTAAGATATGAATAGTTCAATTAAAAGCAGCGACAAAAAGAAAAGTCTTCAGCCTGGATTTAAAAGTAGTCAGAGTTGCAGCGGACCTGCAGGTTTCTGGGAGTTTGTTCCAGATATTTGGAGCATAATAACTGAACGCTGCTTCTCCATGTTTAGTTCTGACTCTGGGGACAGAAAGCTGACCAGTCCCTGAAGACCTGAGAGATCTGGATGGTTCATAATTTAGCAGGAGGTCAGAAATGTATTTTGGGCCTAAACCATTATATGCTTTTCTTTATATGTTTATCTTGTAGAAATAAAAAAATGTTTACCATTATTTTATTTTTCTTTAACATAATTTTTTTCAACATTTGCTTTTATTTTATTTATATTTTATGAATGTTACATTATATACCAAAGCAATTTTCCTTTTGGGTGAAAACTTGGTAAAATACATTATTTTCATTCGAAAAAGGAATGCATTCATAATCTTAAAGGAATGTTAATGCACATTTCAGATTAAACTAATCAAATCGCTGGATTATAATTAGTGATTCATCTGTATCTGCAAATTAACTGATACTATCAGACACAATGACAACTTTTTTTTTACTTTTAGGTGCTTAAGCGTTTACTTGAGAAACTTTAAACGTATGACTTTACTTGTAACAGAGTATTTTATTTATGTAGTATTTCTACTTTTACTATAGGTCAAATATCTGAGCATTATTTCCTCCACTGAAACAAACAAAAGGGGTTTATTTGTTTTTGTTGTGTTGTCTTAATGTTTTCCCCTTTAACAAACACTATATTTTTCCTCTTTTTGATACCACAGTTTAACATCAGCATCAGTCTCACACACATAGAAGGAGCAGTGTTTACCCTCCACCCTCCGTGGATGATAGTGACTCATCATTTGCACAAATCTCTCACACACACATATTGATGTGTGACAAATCTGTTCTAGCAAAAAGAACAATTTGTATTCCAGAGGCTTTGTCTTCTGTCTTCTTTTAGAAAATAATCTAACACATGTTTTATAAAGATAGAACATTTTACTTTCTACTCTAGTAATGTACCTAAGTACAATTGTGAGATACTTTTTCTTTATTTGAGTTTTTCCCTTATGCTACATTATTATTCTACTCCACTTCATTTGAAAAGGGATGTATTGTTACCGCAACTCTTAAAAAGTACAATAATAATTTGTACAGCTTTAGTTACCTTTCAGATTTCAGATTTTAGGTTTTATGAATGTTTGCGATACATTGAATATGTAGGTGTTTTTGAAGTTGATATGAGCACAACCTTTGTCTGCAAAAGCAAAATGCAACATATAAAGCAGCATTAATATTAATCCAAAAACTTGATGTAAAATAGTAAATCTCGTATGTCGCTTTTTCGTTGTATTATTGGAACTTCTACTAAATTAAATAATCAGAATACTTTGGACTTTGGAGTTAGAAACGCAACAAAAAAATCCTGAAAAAATGAAACTTATTTGGCTTTAAAATATGTTTGTATTATTAAACAAGGACCTTGCATAAAGATGAATTAATCCAAAAATAAATAACAGTTGATTTAAGACGGATTGAACTATAATTAGCACAAATGTCAGCAGTTAAGTGGCCCTCTATTATATAGAGGGTCACTCCTCTGTGGCCCCTGAGCCGTGGTGAGTGATGTGGCGTCCCCTGGTGGGAAAACATACAGAAGAGGCCTCTGTGTTGGCAGCTAATCTCCAGCAGCTGAGACCACAAAGCTATATTTACACATTCATAGTTTCGTCATTAGTATAAGCATTACATCCAGTCAAAAATATTTTTAATTGCACATAAAAAATGAAACACATGTGTCAAACTCAAGGCCCGGGGGCCAAATCAGGCCCTTAGTGGATTTAATTTCGGCCCGCAGGATAATTTTTAAATTACTATTAGATCTGGCCCGCCGGTATATTGCACGCACACCTTCACTCCATCCTGAGGGTCTCCTCCGCTCAGAGCCTGACCCCAAACATTGATGAACTTGCACCCAAGATGAGATGCCAAGTATCTGGCTTGAACTAGCATCACAGAGCAGCAAACTGAGTTTAATGGATGTTTCCTTCTGCACTTTGTTTCTTGCGACAACAGGGCATGTTTGGTTTGTTCTTTGAGGGAAATAGTTTTGTTGAAGCTGTTGTTGGCCTGTGTAAAAATGTAATCATAAGAAATGACTCCGGAAAAGCTGCAGATAGAGCCATAAGAAATGAATGCAACTGATGTTTCATGTTGTTTTTATAGGCAATAATTTAAGCTTTGTTAGTTCCAGGTTTAATATGTGCAATAAGTTCATTTCAATAAGTTTTGCAATAAACATTGAACCAGTCCGGCCCTCGACTAGTACCCATTTTTTAATTTTGGCCCACTGTGTATTTGAGTTTGACACCCCTGGTATATAAGCTTTACGTCAACAATTCCCATTTCACTGCTAAAAGTAAGTCAGAAGAGAACTATTTCTATCTGCTAATTGACTATAAATATAGGCATATTCCAGGGAGGAGGATTCATCACAAAAACAGCTCTTGATTTCATGTGGAAATATTTATTTTAAAATTCAAGTACAATTTCTTCACATATAACTCTAAGATGCACACAAGACAATCCATTTCATTCAACCATGTTTTCATTTGAGTAACCTGCACACAGATTTTAAGACAGCCTCCAAATTGAGGGTTTTATCTCTACATGGTGCTGGGCTGCAATAGACCATTACTATCATTTTTTATTTAAAAACAATTAATCGTTAGATCTGAAACTTAAAAATGTGCATCCGAGTTTCTCAAAGGTGTTGCCTATAAATATCTTGTTTCGTCAGTCCAAAAACATAAATATATATAGTTTAGTCAAATATAAAACAGAGACAAGCAGAACATCTCCATATTGGAGAGACTGAAAAGAGCATTTTTTTAAAACCATTTTTGCAAGACAATGTATGATTATCAAAAATAGTTGGCTAATATTTGTTCTGTCAATCAATATATCATTGCAGCTCTACTACACGACAAAATAAACACTGAATTACAAGTAAAAATGTCAGTAATGAAGCCTGTCAGAAAAAAGTTAAGCACTCCAGTTATGTTCATTTTTCTGGCAACTGTAGACTCACTACAAAAAAAATTTCAACAAACAAAACGATAAAGTGATTGTTGCCACATACATAAAGTGTGTTTCTTTCAGATATCAACAATCCAGACAATCTTTCATGTCTTGCACTGATATCAACTCGGCAGCATGCATGGTATTCATACAAACACCGCATAGCTCAAAAATAGAAATAGAAATTGCACATTCGTCGCAGGGGTTCCATCTGTGAAATCTCAGTGTGGTGTGTGTGTGTGTGTGTGTGTGTGTGTGTGTGTGTGTGTGTGTGTGTGTGTGTGTGTGTGTGTGTGTGTGTGTGTGTGTGTGGGTTTGTTAACGTGGGCGACTGCTTTTCTCCCCTCGTTTAGTCTTTGTTCTTGTCAAAGAAGGTACATGTCGTTTTAGGACGTCCTTTACTGTAAACACATTAACACGTGTTTGCCTATTAATCTCGTACCTGTGAACTTTAATCCTCACATCCTAATTCAGTTTTAAAATGTCAGATAATTTAGGCCAATATGATATTTTTACATTACATTAAACAGTTTTAAGTTTTAAGAAATGTGACCAAGAAATGTATTGAGCAGGACATTTAATTTATTTGTATAAAATGTCCTCAAAATGTAGACTTATTAGGGGGAACAAACCAATTCATTATATAAATATATATATAATTACAATAATCATGTTGATTACAATAGGGTGCTACGACTCAAAGTTGTCGGTTATTAGACCTTAATACAATTCTCAGTATTCAGGAGGAAAAACTAGATGAATGCCTTGAATTAAGCTTTTCTATGTTACAATTAGTTTTGTTGCTTTTCGGCCAATTTTTACGTCAACACATTATATCTGCCAATATGCTAAAAATAGAAAGATTTAAGTAGAAATTGCACAATCATTGTGGGGGTCTATCTGTGAACTCTCAGTGTGTGTGTGTGTGTGTGTGTGTGTGTGTGTGTGTGTGTGTGTGTGTGTGTGTGTGTGTGTGTGTGTGTGTGTGTGTGTGTGTGTGTGTGTGTGTGTGTGTGTGTGTGTGTGTGTGTGTGTGTGTGTGTGTGTGTGTGTGTGTGTGTGTGTGTGTGTGTGTGTGTGTGTGTGTGTGTGTGTGTGTGTGTGTGTGTGTGTGTGTGTAAAGGGCTGTCATGTGTTATTTTTCTCTCGTCTAGTCCTTGTTGTTCTTCCTAAGTAGGTAAATGTCGCTTCAGGACGTCCTTGGCGTTTCCGGGCAGCGTGTCGGGGAAGTTAACGTCCAGCTCCACCACCAGGTCTCCTCTCTGCTCTGGGTTTTTGGGTACGGGGAGACCCTGCCCGGCGACAGTCCTTCTCATGCCAGGCTTGATGACGTCCGTGATCTTCATGTTGCACGAGTTCCCGTCTATCGTCGACACGGTAACAGAGCATCCACACAATGACTGAAAAACACAGGAACATGGAAGTCAGTGTGAGAAACAGCAACCCAGACATGATGTAGGAAAAATAACAACTGAATCTGAAGTAAACTCTGATATATTCTTTAAGTGAATATTAGTAAGAATATGTTCTGATATCAACACAATATAGCAGATGTACAAAAAATCACAAAAAAATTAATAAACTGATAAGTAGGGCAAATGATCTACTGCTATATATTACATGAACCAAAATGATCTATTATCTATTTTTAGATTTGAACAATCATTGTGAACAATTTGACAATGTTGACAATGTTGTTTTTTAACAATAGAAAATGTTCATGTCACTAATTCAGCTAAAAGTGGAGAAAGGATCATATTTAATTATTCCCAACTTTTTTATATTGCATTAGTTTTGTTGCTGATCGTCCAATTGTACATTGACACAATCTGCTGATAAGCAAATGTGTGGATTTTGTAACATTTTACATTTTGGGTTTTGGCTAAATGATTTCCTCAACCAACACACTAAAACCTGCATTCTGAATATCTACCATATTCGGCTTTAAATACCCTTAAAGATGTTGCTACATGGCGCTCAGTGTATATGGAAATGTATGAATATATTTGACATGATTTATTATAAGAGTTTACCACAATTATAAATGACTTGTATATTTATTCACAGACCCACACAAAAAGCTAAGATAATTGAACAACTAGACCTAGTTAATTGAACACTGAGCAAATTATACGACTGTTGTTTCAAAATAATCTTTACATAAGGTTCATTTAAGATCCATAAACACATCAACAGTCTATATTATTGGATGCAGTTTGCTCAGCTGTCGAGGAGATTGCTCAGTTGTCATCACATAATAGCAGCTGTCCGTAATCTCTCTATTCAAAGATCGTATTTGGAGTTGGATATAATCATTGTGCTTTCTCTTGTATTTCTGAGGAAGACTATGACATGCTGTGGAAAGTGTTCTTGGAGGTCAGATTAAAGTCATGTTGATATATTCTATTTGAGTATAGTTGTAAAATATGTTTTAGCAGAAAAGAAAAGCAAAGAAATGAAGCTATGTGATCGGAAACCTTTAACGTGACTGATAAAACAAGTGATGATTGACGTCGCACAGAGCTGATCGGCTGCTGTTCGCATGTATTGCTCACATATGCAGAGCTGAAGCACTGAGATCTCAAAGTGTTGAGGAGAGTAGGAGGAACCATAAAAGTACATCTTGAAATGTCTGCATGTGGGCGGCGAACGCCTCTCTGCCCTCCCTGTGAAACGGCTCCTATTTCTCAATGTTGAAGATTACATAAGACAAAGTGTGTGTTTAGTTTCGTACTAGCTCATTCAGGACACATGTACTTTCCAGGGGAAACCACTTTTAAGGGAATCCACCTGTTTTGAACATCAGAGCATTAAAGCAGCACTCTAAAATAAATATGAGCTTGATCTGAAACACCCCTGTGTGTGACTAATCCATCTATCAGACTCTAATAATACAACACACAGTCATGAGTGGGTGCCAGAACAGAAAATAACTCACCTGTCTTAAACTGACACGCACAGGATACACAATGTTTGAGCCCTCCCGCCTAAAGTGAGGGTGTGGCTTGTCCTTGATGACGAAAACAATGTCCGCAGGAATGGTATTGGACGACTCGTCCCCCTCCCGCGGGAACGTGATCTTGGTTCCCTCTTTCCAGCCTCGCTTGATCTCGATAGTGAGAATCTTATCCTCGTTGCGCATGGTCCTGCCGTCTGGATTTAGCCTCTTGCGAGAGATTTTCATCTTCTTGGTGCAGCCGTGGAAGACCTCTTCCAGGGTGACCCTCAGTTCATGGATGATGGCAGGGTCCTGTTTCCTGCGTGGCCCTCCAGGTCCACTGTGAGGGTCTCGAGGGAAGCCGTTCATGTTGAAGTTACTGAAGGAACCAAAGGGGTCGTTTCCGTCCACCTCCATGTCGTCGTCGTCTCGACCGTTTGCTTTACGCCCAAAGAACATATCGAAGGGGTTGGAGCCACCAAAGAAAGTGGCGAAGGTGGCGTGAGGGTCTCCATGGAAGGTGTAGGTGAAGGTGTTGCCCGGTCCATCCGTGGGCCCGTTTCCTCCCTTGAGACCTGATGGGAGATAGAATGATCCATCAGTCATCAACATTCAACAGTGTGATAGCTTTATTCCACACATGATGCATACATTGACCATCCAGTCCCCAAGACAGTAGAATTGAATTGTTAAGTCCTCTTGTAACAAGCTATTTCAATAATGTATGAATCATAAGGTTAGTTTCAGGGGAAAGTGGTCAAAAATGCTGTATTATGCCTCACCAAAGATACATTTCTTATTATGTAATTAGAAAAAAAATGTGTTATTATCATTAATCTGTTAACAAGCCTCAGTGTCATGTTCCCTTACATAAGAATGATCCTAATGAGTCTACAACACTTGTAAATGTAGGTCAAATGTTGTGTCTTTTAATGGACAGTCTATGCCGGACACATACTGAGACCATACACTCTCAACATCTTCCATTTTAGTTGATTTTATATATCATATACTCAGGTGTTCACTCATGTTATCACCAATTTATAAAAAACACAGATACTCTGTTGCATGGATTGAGTGAGCCTTTAAAGGAGACATAGTGTACACATTTCCTTAAGATGTGTTGCACACTTGCTAAATGAAATGGTAAAAAAGCTTACTATGCCTCATTTAGTTTCTTATAGGCCTATATAGGAGCTTTAGGAGATTATCTGTGATATGTTCTCCTTCCTCACATCATGCTTCCCACCCATTACCATCTGTTCAGATTCAGATACGACATAGCCTACTGTGCACAAATGCTTTGATATGATCAATTCAATTCAGATGTAAATTAGTTTATAGCTATATATATGCACTATCCCTGTCAAATAAAACAATATATATTAAACACATTTGTAAGAAAGTCTGAGCTGGAAATGGTGACAGGCCTTTATTTCTCTCATAACAGGGGCTTATTATAACTGCAGATATGGTGCATTTGATCATTCTTATAATAGATGCACAGATCTAGGCCTATGATGTGCTGAACAGCTGTTTTTAACCCTGCTGGTTACAGAGAGACTTGAATTAAGGCCAGCTGTGCTTTACATCCAGTCAATCCGGCTTTGTAACGGGATTTTACCGGTATATTGAAGGTGTGACACAAAATATAATTACATTAAAATAATAAAAACACCTTACCTTCCTCTCCATACTGGTCATAAACTTCTCTTTTCTTCGGATCACTCAGCACTTCATATGCTTCAGCGATTTCCTTAAATTTCTCCTCGGCTGATGCAGACTTGTTTTTGTCCGGATGCCATTTCAACGCCTGTTTTCTGTAAGCTTTCTTAATATCCTCCTCTGTGGCTCCTTTGGAGATGCCCAGCGTTTTATAGTAATCTTTACCCATTTTTACCCCCAAGTATACTTATATCCCCTTGTAAAAACGACCACGAAAGACCCTTGCAGGGGATGTATGCAGTGCTGGTCGTCGGATGGCTGTCAGCAGAGGCTCAGTCTGGACACATGAAGCCGCAGACAGACACACAGAGCCGGATGAAAAAACATTTAGAGACAGTTAGTCAGCGCGGAGGACCTTCTGCTATTTATCCGTGACTGGATGACCCTCTTTAAATAGCCTCGGCTCCCTCCTCCTCCCCGCATCCATCCGCAGAGCCAACGTCAAGCTCAGAAATATGAAATAATTCTGCTTCCGGTGAGTGTGTGTGTGTGTGTGTGTGTGTGTGTGTGTGTGTGTGTGTGTGTGTGTGTGTGTACGTGTGTGTGTGTGTGTGTGCGTGTACACGCGTGTACGTGTGTGTGTGTGTGTGTGTACGTGTGTGTGTGTGTGTGTGTGTGTGTGTGTGTGTGTGTGTGTGTGTGTGTGTGTGTGGGTGTGTGTGTGTGTGTGTGTGTGTGTGTGTGTGTGTGTGTGTGATATAATATGAGATTAACACAGGTGAAATGGGATAGGCTATGCAATGCGTATTCACATATGATAGACATGATAACGCCTCAACTTTGTTAAAAATAAATTGGTTTTCTTTGTTTAATATAATGTACTAATGTGTGTAGAAGTATTATTATTACTTATTTTTATGTAGCCTAAATATATAATTTGTATATTTTAACGCACATTTTATTTTCTAAAATGATCATGTTCTTCACATAAACCACTGACCAACAGAGGCAGAATATTGATATTATTCTAGTTTATTGTACTTTACTGTACTTTTATTTTGTACATTTGTGTGTGTGCGAGTGTGTTTCACTGATTCCTACCTCAGCTTCCAGATAATTCCCATTGTATCCACTTGCCTCAACACAACACGTTTGTCTATGATTGGTTGCAGTGGTTTAAGCCAAGATAAAGTTATTTCCTTTTTGCCACCACAAGCAACACAACATCAAGTAGCCTACATGTTCATATATTTCCTTGTATTGCTACAATTCCCTGTGTGTTGTTGGTGAACACTAGCAGGTTCAGGATGTAGAGGAGAGGGCACAGTGATGATGGATGGTGGTGGGCTCTCTCGCAGCAGCAGCGCCACCTGCTGCACCATAGAGGGAATTAGTCATTCTCTTTGAGATAAAGTAAGCATTTCTGCTGCATTGGCACTGAGCACTGCTGCCAATGAGTCAGCGTCCGAGCAGAGCTGCAGCTCAATAATATCTGATGATTTATCAATGCATGCATTTCTCCCTTGATGAAGAAGAGTGCATCTTTTTGAAACATATTTTTTTAAAACTGGGGTTGACTTGTTTCTAAATGCACCATGGATCAGTTTCGTGGTTTATTTTCTAAACTGGATCAAAACGACGATGGATTCGTTTCAATGTCGGAGCTCCAAGACGAAATGAGGAAGCATGGGATCCTCTCAGCTGATGGAAAGGTCCAGGTAATGTTGCAAATGCATACATGTTTATCTAAACAGCAATACACAAGGCTATACCCTTATGTCATTCATTCATTCACTAATCAACACACCTGCTGACTTTCTCCTAGAATATCATTGAATCTTATGACAAAAACAAAGATGGCCTGTTGGATTATAAAGAGTTCCTCGGTTACATGATGGACAGAGAGAGGAAATGGAAAATCCACTTTCATGACCTTGACAAGAACAAATGTGGTGAGTGGGACATTTGTCTGATAATGTTTTGTTTATGAAGGAAACAAAAGAGAATGCAACAAAGTGCAAAAGTATTGTTAAAAACGTACATTTAACCCCATGTTTAGAGTCTTTAATCTTTTTTTTAGGCATTACTCTTCTTATTTTTATAACAATATCATATATGAATATTATTACAATAATTATAGCATAACAATGTGTTTTATGTAGAAGATGAGTCGTCACATGTTTTCATCTTCTTTATAAACAGCTATTAATGTGAATTTTTACGACAATAAATAATATTTTCAAGGTCAGAAAGGAAAAGTAGATATGCCTTGTTTATGGTACACAGCACCCTGTACAGCCCTGTTGACTGTGACCGTTGCACTCATAGAGTTTACAGTATCACTTCCCTGAAATATGATAACGCAAAGAGCCCTATCTGTTTGTAATCATGTGCATTTCTTCTCTGATCAGGGGTGATTGACCAGGAGGACATCATATGTTTGTTTAAGGAGTTAGGAGTGGTCATATCAAAGCCGAATGCAAAAAAAATTATTCAAATGTAAGATATTTATCCAACTGCATCATGGATTATTTTGTTGTATTTAAAGGACTTTATCAGTTGTAGCACTGGGTTTACCTGAGTTTAGAAGAAACACACACCTTTACAGGGGATATTATATTGTATTTATATTACATGTGATAATGGGTTAGTAAGAACTCATAGATTACTTGAAAAGGTTTTAAATATGATCATGCTCCTGAATTGAGAGTATTTCATAAATGAGTTTGTTTTTACATCATAGACCTTTTTCAATAATACACTTTTTGCAAATGCATAAGCTCAAACTATAAAAGAAAATGAGCAGTAAACAATACAAAACGTACAAACAAAAATACAAAATAAATAAACAACCAAACAAATGGTTGTTAAATCAAAAATCATATCAATTTAGCCCAATATGACTGAAATCTGATTACTTTGTCATACACGTCTTTATTACCTAGATATTGTTAATAATATCAAATAAACTCTTGTAATATAGGCAGTTCAGGGTGTAAACATATTGTTGTCATAGTTTCCTTACTTTTAGTCAAAAATTATAATCTTGACCATCCTGTTGTAAGAAAAGAATAAATGAATGTTTTGTGGACCTTCAATTTGAACTCACTAACAAGCAAACCTGTGCGTTATGATATTATAAAGGCTCATAAGAGCTTTATCACAACTGATCAATAAGGACATTACCAGCAACTTTTGAAATCTTATCAGTGGGTCTTTTGGTAACTTAATACTGATGTTTGATGATGAAATCACACAGCTGCTCATTACAGTCTGTGATCAAAACAAACCAACACGTGTTTATTAATCCTCCAGGATGGATAAGGACAGCTCCATGACGGTGGACTGGGCTGAGTTTCTGCACCACGTCATCCTCAACCCTGTGGACAACATAGGGGAGCTGGTGTCGTCATGGAAACACAGTATGGTAAGATCTTTTTTGGCAGCTTCACGGTCAACTGTGTTACTTTTGATGATGATGTGCAGAAACTGTGACACATCTACTTCAGCGTTAGTGATACCAGAGAATAGAAGATGATGAATGCTCATTCTGCAGGTTTTCGATGTGGGCGAGAGTCGTGCCATGCCCATCGAGTTCCCCGAGGAGGCGTCGGGCTTTGGGGCGTGGAGGACGTTTGTTCTGGCAGCAGGTCTGGCTGATGCTGTGTCCCGAACTGTGACGGCCCCCATCGACCGTCTGAAGACACAACTGCAGGTTAGATCCACGGTCAGGTGTTAGGGAAAAGCATGTATGGACTTAAGACAAGACATCCTTTATTTATCCCCAGGGGGAAATTCCAATTTTTGGGCAAATGCCTGAAATACACACATGCATAAACATACAGGTAAATATAATTGCATTCAAGGAGTGGGTTAGAGCCTGCCAATGTTTCGGCACCATGGAGCACTCTGCGGTTTAGGTGAAGGAAGCTAAAGGACACCCCTCCAGCTACTCTGTATTTTGTTTTGATTGTGACTTTAACCAGCAACCCTTCGATTGCCAACCAACAACCAAGTCCTTACAGAGTGAGATACTGACATCCCTTTTCTTAGTTTATCTGATCTGATACACTTATAAACGTGAATATGTGTTATCTTCTAAAGCATCCCATAAAATCTAGACTATGTAACACATCCATCTGAGCCCAAAGGTCTTTGCAGTTTAGATGATCTGTGCTTGTTTATCTTGGTTAAATGACCTTCTGATAGACTTTGAGAACAGAATCCAAACCACATGAAGCATCAGGCGTTAAAGGTTTCTCAAAGACACTACATTTCTTCATGTCAGTTTAACTTTGATATCATGATGTAAACCAGCATCTGTCAGCATTCAAAACAAGTTATACTGTTAGATGTGGTTACAAATTCTGATAGCAATTCCAAGTTCCTTACGTATAACAGTTACAGAGAAACAGTCGTTCTCAATGTACATCTCAAGTCTCTCTCTCCAGCAATGCCAATAATGTACAAATGAAAAAAGGATCACCCTGAACAAATTGAGGCATGTTAAAGTAGGCTTTATAAATGATGATATTTTTGGGGATTTTCTATGGATATTTTAGAAAAATCTTTCTATCAATTATTTTGACCATGATAGATGTACTGAACATCTGATATTATGACAGCCCTGGATGCACATATTTCACAATTTTCTTAAAAAAATACAGATAGTAATTATTATTATTTTTTGTCAGCTACAGAGAAACATTATGAGATACAGACCAAGCTGTTTCCAAAGCAAACTTTTTAAAGATTTGAGAAGCATAAGCAACTGCACTGAATGATCTTCAAGTATCAGGAACAGGTAAATTATGTAAAACAAAGAAGACTAGCTGATAACAGGCTATCTTTACCTTCAAGACACAGTACAACCAAACCGGGACAGCACTTAACAACAAAGAACACTTATCTGAGTTTTTGTTCTTCACAGTTTGAGATGTTAATGTTTGGCTTTGTAAACTACACAAAAGATTATCAGATCACATCTTAATGCTCCTCCAAAGACACCACAGGACTTCTCAAACTCTCTAAAACTTCTTTGTTGCTAAAAAGAATTGCACTCATTTGTGTGCAAGGTGTTGGGAAAGAAGACACAATGAAAATGAAGACAAGCCTAAATGATGTCCTAGGCACTTTGTTATTACCTACAACAACATTTTCAAAATCATAAACATCTTTTAATAAATAAATCTCACAGTTGTTGTCAATACTAGTGTATTTCAGCGACCTCAAATAGCACCTGTACCTCTTTTCCTCAACAAAGGTTTTTTTTCAGGTTACTGCACATGTATTGTCCCTGTCTCTATAAGCAGTTAATATTTCTGATATTTTCTGTGTTCTGCAGGTTCATGGATCCAAAGCCTTCTCTCAGGGCTTTTCGGAGATGAGGGCTGGTGGTCTGCGGTCGATGTGGCAAGGCAACGCCGTCAACGTGCTGAAAGGAACACCACAGTCTACGCTCCAGTGTCTTATCTACGCCCAGGTGAGGCAGTCGCAGGAAAACTCTCTATAGTGAATTATTCATGCAGTAGCTTCCTATTTATAATTCAGCAGTTCACTCAGAGTTTCTCTACTTTGTGCAGATGAAGGCGTACACGCAGAGCAGCACGCAGCAGACTCTGACGGTGCAGCAGCGCTTCGGGTTGGGCTGTGTGTCCGGGGCCGTCGCCCACGCTGCCTTCTACCCTTTAGAGGTATTACAGATCTGAGGCAGGTCGAGTGCTTTAACATCTCTGTCCTGTCCTCATATTTTAATAACAGTGTCCCATTACAGGTTAACACAAATCATCAATGTCCAAATGTCCTAGTTGGGTACATCATGATGCTTTGGTTTAGTTATTGCAAACAAATCAGAATATATTTCTGTTTTTTTCAAGGATTCAAGGCTTTTACTGTCATTTGTGCATAGCTACAGTGTAGTTATGATAATGAAAATCTTAGGTCACAGGCTCCTCCAACAGTGCAACAACAATAAAACAGATAATAGTGCAAGTAAATAAAATAAAATAGAATATAATAGAAATAGTGCAGACTAGTCCATATACAAGTAATTGGAATATTGATATAAGTTGCAAACAGATGAATGTTATGGATGTTCTTTCAAAAGTTGTATCAAATACTGTGAATAATATTTAGCACTTGGGTGCTTTAGACATTATCGGCAGGATGAACATGAACATTCATAAGGTCTTTCGACACGGTGAACCATCAGATCCTCCGTTGCACTCTCTAAAAACTTGGAGTTTCAAGCTCTGCACTTTCCCTCCTCACCTCATACCTCAAAGACCGTACCTACAGGGTAACTTGGAGAGGGTCAGAGTCCGACCCTTGTCAATTAACTACAGGGGTCCCTCAGGGCTCTGTTCTTGGTCCCCTCCTCTTCTCCTTGTACAAATAAATTAAGCTCCACCTTTACCTGCTGCAACATTAAAGCACATTAATGCATCATTCATGCATGAGTACTTCTTCGATGACTGTGACTAACAAAAAACATTGTAATACTAGTTGAACATTACATTTTTATATTTGTATGTGTTTTTTGTTGTTGTTTTTTTTATATGTTTCTAGTTATTGTGCTTTTCATTATGTTTTTAATTATTGTTTTATTATTGTACTCCCATTGTGTTATTTAATATTGTAGTTACTGCCTGTACAGCACTTTGGTCAACTGAAGGTTGTTTTAAATGTGCTATATAAATAAATAAAGATTGAGATTGAGATAAAAAGTTGAGAGAGAAAAATTGCACAGTGATATCTTTTGGCGTCATTTCTTTATAGACATGAACATTTGATGTAAAAAAATAACAACTTTATTTACAGAATACTCAAGACCCTTCTCCTAAACCCTGACCCATCTTCTGTTGAGGCAGTTTCAATAGCTCTGGTACTTGAAAGCAGAATGGGCCATCGTGCTTGCTTATACCCCTCCTTGTGATTTATAATGGTAATACAATTACCATGTAAGCGTCAACGTTTTGGCGTGTCTCATTCTCCTTAAAGAGAATAGACACTTTAAAGAGGTCACTTAACAGATGTCTATGTTATTCATTGTCTGTGATGCTTTGGGGACTTTTCGCACAATAGTTGTTGACCTCTGAGTCCAAGTCATGCAGATTAGTGACATTGTTTAATTTCAGTAAGACACAGGTAAATGTTACTGTTTACTCTGCTTCTAAAATAACCCGTTTTATTTTTCTAGGCAAACCAAAAGTGTTCATGTAGGCCTATGTATAAACCATCTTAGATCTTCTAATAAACTTTTCACATCAGACATTTTCAGTTTCAAACAGTCCTGTTTATTCTCAACATGGACATTTGCAAAAAACATCCTTTTTTAAAGCATAATAGACCTTTAAATAATAGACCCTTTAAATGGAAGTTGTTTTTGACCTGAGACTGCTCTCTGTTGTTTGCATTAATCCCAACAATGTCTATAATAAACTGAAACTTATCATTTGTAATTTTGTGAAACAGTGTTTTATTTTAGTAATCTCTCTCCTCTTATCTCCTCCACAGGTGCTGAAGGTGAGGTTGAACCTGCAGCAGGCCGGCACCTACCAGGGTGTTGTGGCATGCGCTCGATCCATCTACAGAAACGAGTCGCTGTCCTCCTTCTACAGAGGATTCAAGCCCAGCGTCCTCTGCATGATCCCCTACGCAGGCGTGGAGTGTGCAGTTCATCAGGTGAGACAATTCAGCTCTCAACGGTCAAATATATGGTCATCTGAAATATTTTAAACATATATTAACTGTTTGCTTCTTGTTGCAGTCGATCATGAACTGGGCAAGGAATCATCCCACCTACAACAGTGACTCCAAACTGTTTTTCTTCAGTTTTGTGGCCTTTGCTTCTGGACAAATTACCAGTTACCCGCTGGCTGTGATCCGAACTCAGCAGCAAGCACAAGGTACACCATTTTCTGTCACACATTTTAAGATTATTTGGAACCATTTGAGACGTTTTACTCATCCAAATTTGTCTTGTTTTACAGCTTTCAGCCAAGATTCTCGTCAAGCTTCAGGTGTACTACAAGGACTTTTAGGGATATATGAAAGAGGAGGAATTAGAGGATATTATAATGGGATGGGAGCCAGCTTCGTCAGAGCAATTCCATGTGCTTTGATAAACTACACTTTAACTAGAACATTTGAAGATCTGGTTTCCTAAACAGAGTTTAGAGTTTTAGCATAGATCGTGATCACTCCAGAAAACAACGGCACTAAAAACTGTGAACTCTTAATAAAGTTAACAGAATTTACAAAAGCAACTTGAATCTTGGAATAACTAAAGAATGGATGAACCAATGATTCATCATGTGATTAAATCTTGAATACTCTTTTTTTTAATTGAAGCTTGAGTTAACTCAATGGTTTACCAAAGACACAGAGCTTATGACATACATTTTTTAAATGCATGGTTGACTTGAAATCCAAAATGTGAAAAAGTGTATTAATGTTCTGCTTGAGGCTATGGCGTGTAAATGCGTGAGGCCTGTACATAAAATGTTATTTCATAAAAGTGGTCAGATATCTTATTTTCATCTATAATTTAACAGTGTGTGTTTTCATGCAATGAGCATTACAAACAATTCCTTGTTAAAGACACAGCTACAAAGGTATTATCAGATAAAGAAATTCTGGACAGTCAAAGGCGGAAGTTAAATAATAGCGCACAATTGAGCAGTAGCCAACATACAGTATATAGAGTATTTTTATTTTCTGCTACTTTAGTCCTATAATACTCCATGTATTCAGATCATTTTCTGAAACTTGAAATATTGCACTTCAAGAAATCATTCTGCAATGCATTCATAAAGCTCTATAAATCTGGTTAAGATTGTGCTAATTCTCACTACTTTATAAAGCCTACAGCTTGGTAGTTAAACCTACATATAATTTATACATTATAAGATCAAACTAAGGGTAATAACTATACTACCCTGAATCCAAGTATACTTTCTAAAAAGTCTCAAAGTAAATAATATGACAGCAAATTGTATAAGTCTACAGATGTATAGTTCTCTGTCAATATGTGTGGATATCTTACTTTGTACTTTTGTTCTCTTTTGAGATATTTATGGTTAAACACTGAATTTCCCTAGGGTGATTAATAAAGGTTCATCATCATCATCATCATCATCATCATCATCATCATCATCATCATCATCTTCTTCTTCTTCTTCTTCTTCTTCTTCTTCTTCTTCTTCTTCTTCTTCTTCTTCTTCTTCTTCTTCTTCTTCTTCTTCTTCTTCTTCATTTTCAAATGTTGTGCAATCCCTTGTTTACAAGCTGCTGTGATAGCAAACTGAAAAAAAAACACAGAACAAGTGGTCCCTTCGGAATAAAGGTGTTTAGAAATGTGTTATATTGGAGGGCTTTTTTACTTTTGCACAATTTAATTTATTTGTTTCCTACAGGCAACGTTTTAGAGAAGATTTACCCGTAAAAACATGTATTGTCCCCGCCTTAAACACTTCTCGCGATACTTCATTTCCCCGCGAGTTTCCCGTGCAGATCTCGTGAATGTAACCGTCCATCTTGAGTCGCTGTGCAGCAGATCATCAGATATGGCTGACTACAGCAGCGTGGCTCCTCCGTCCTCTAACTCCGGCCCAGGCATGAATGACGCTTTTAAAGACGCTCTACAGAGAGCACGGCAGGTAAGAACATCATTTGATCAAGTAAGTAAAAAATAATCATCGAAAGAGGGGGCGAAAAGGCACGATTTTGATGCTTTTTCTCCCCGGGGTAAGATACGACAGCACGCGAAGCTAAGCTATGCTAACCATGACGATGAAAAGCGAAAACAGATGTGGAAACAAACGCATTACAAATCTATTTAATCATCGGACACTTATATACTTGTAATGGGATAAGAACAAAATCCATACGCGTAAAACCCTAATGTATTTTAAAGTGGACGTTTTATTTTCCTTTGTTGGCTCGCACTTCCGGAGCGTATTTTCTTTTTGTTTTAACGCTAGGCCGCAGAAAGAAACGCGTAAAACACAAAAACAGCTTATAAATCATCTTTAATTTCCGTTTTGTTTAATTATTCTGTTTCAGATTGCAGCGAAGATCGGCGGTGATGTTCCTTCAGCGCCCCAGACGAACGACTTCGGCTACGGAGGCCAGAAAAGGCCCCTGGAGGACGCTGGTGGGTATTTTCCCATGCCTAACCTAAATATCGGTCAGTGGTTCAAATCGATTCAATGCAAGTCTTCATAGCTAATACTTGCATGTGTGTTTTTTAGCCACTACTAAACTTAATTTGACTAGAATTTACATTTAACTAATACGCTTAACATTAAGTATTTTATCCCAAACCATATTATTTCCCTTTTTAATTTGAACCAATCCACCATGTTTAGGTGCATGTGTTGAGACTTGGATGACATTTTCACTGTATCAAATCAGGGCCAATGAAAATTTATACATTTGGGGAACTATTGACATGAAGAATTACTAAGTAACAACTAGTGGAGCAGTATAATTACAATTACAGTGGTTCCTTACTGCAGAACATGGGTAAATCGATTTGATTATATTCCATCACTGGTGATCTAATGTAATTTTTGGGTAATGGGTATTTTTAGTGTGATTATACATATATATATATATACTTACTTTCTGGTGAGGCAGTGTTGGTTTCAGCTTTGTTTTCCCTAAAAGCATAAAATATACTTATAAATCCTCTTATTTACCAAGTTTCTGACTTGAGGTACGTAGATACTATATCCTGAAATCTGACAAAATGAAAAAATAAAGACCGAAACCAACATTTAACACGTTCAGGGTGGAGGGTTTGATAGCAGGACTATTGAATTGGTGGGGATTTTCTGGGTGTGCGTAATAATTAAGAGTACATCTAGCTCTGTATGTATGGTGGCTATGCAGGCTTTTGCTGTTTGCCTTAACCATTTCAATTTCAGGTAATGTTGATTAGCCATTTCTAGATTAAAGAACTGTAATGTGATAGTGGGTGTAATGATAGATACTTATACTGGTTATTATGTCATATTGTCACAGACCAACCAGAGACGAAGAAAGTGGCTACAAACGACGGTGAGTGAACTGGTGACGTAGCTGTAGTTGCAGTTGAATTTGTGGCTGTAATTTGTTATTATTCCCTTCCTTTGAGTAATTGCCCCCAAAATTAGCATGAATTTGTTGCATGGGTTAAAGGTCTGTGTTGTATATTTGTTCCCACCTAATGTATTGTAATGTCTTTCTGCAGCGTTTTCAGGAATGGGAGGAATGGGTGGTCCCCCAAGGTAGATACTCAAGCTAAATTATGAATATTTTTTTTATTTAAATATTTACCACAAAGATCACATTGATTGATCTGTTCTGTTATTCTCAGGTCATTATCAGAGGAATTCAAGGTCCCAGATGGCATGGTTGGATTCAGTAAGTGTAGGCCCAAAAACAAAGAATTTGAGCATGTCTTTTGATAATGAGTGCGTTAGGGTAACACCTTTTGTCCTTATAGTTATTGGAAGAGGAGGCGAACAAATCTCTCGCCTGCAGCAAGAGTCTGGATGTAAGATACAGATTGCGTCGGGTATGTTTAGATCTGTTGCTGATATTTTGGCTCCAGTGATACTCAGAAAATTATAGTTCATAATGACTGAGATGTTTTGAATTGACTGCATGTTTCTGATATAGACAGTGGAGGTATGCCTGATAGGTCGGTGACACTGACCGGAGGACCAGAATCCATCCAGTAAGTCAACACTTTATTATACACCATATTCACAAACACCTAATATTAGTTGGATCCATGTCAGGGATTTCAGACTGTTTAATGGTAATGTTTCTTCCATTAGGGCAGCAAAGAGGCTACTTACAGAGATAGTTGAGAAGGGGCGTCCAGCTCCAGCATTCAACCACAACGACGGCCCCGGAACGTCGGTCCAAGAGATCATGATCCCTGCCACTAAAGCCGGACTCGTCATTGGGAAGGGAGGAGAAACCATCAAAGGCCTTCAGGTGAGCGTCTGCCAGAGTTTAAGTAGAAAGAGTGGGCGTGAAAACGAGAGCAGTCGTTTATTAGATGACATTTTTGGCATGGGCACATTCTTATTCTTCTCTTAACCTGCAGGAAAGAGCTGGAGTGAAGATGGTCATGATCCAAGATGGACCACAAAACACAGGCGCTGATAAGCCACTCCGCATTTCAGGAGAACCCTTTAAAGTTCAGGTGAGTCCCCACCCCATTTCATTTTATTAACGTTCTTAAAATAAATGTCATCAAAATTGCATTTACATTAAAACGGATGTTTTAAATGTAAAAAGACGGTCATTATATCCTTGGCTAAGCGTCTTTTATTGGTCGCCGTTGGGGACTAGTGAAGAAGTGCCGTAATAAGATGTAATTTCTTGTCTCTACAGCAAGCCAAAGAGATGGTGATGGAGCTGATCAGAGATCAAGGCTTCAGGGAGCAGAGGGGAGAGTACGGATCAAGAGTTGGAGGCGGACACGGCGGCGGTGGTGGTGGTGGTGGTAATGGCGGCGGAGGAGGAAATGGTGGTGGTGGTGGCGACGGCGGAGGAGGAAATGGTGGAGACAGCTTAGATGTGAGTGTTTCAATCAAGATGTCTCAATTATTTTGGAGACAAGATGTTGAGTCTGTTTCTGAACTGGTTTTTATTGTCTTTCCTCATGTAGGTTCCTGTTCCTCGGTTTGCAGTGGGAATTGTTATTGGCAGAAATGGAGAGATGATCAAGAAAATACAGAACGACACAGGCGTCAGAATTCAGTTTAAACCAGGTAAATGTTTTGGACTGCTACTGTACAGCAACTGTGGCCAAAGTCTTTTGGATGCTGTTAATGTGTTTGGTCCGTGATGAAAAATCATGCACCACGCTGAGAACTGATGGATACCCTAACCCTTTAATCTGAGACCTGAACACAAGACTTAAACATGTCACTCACCAAAAACATATATTCTGTCTGGATGGTCCCTAATCCTTTTATTTCTCCAGATGACGGCACCCCCCCTGAGAGGATAGCACAGATCATGGGCCCCCCCGACCAGGCGCAGCACGCAGCAGAAATCATTTCCGACCTGCTCAGGAGCGTTCAGGCTGGCGGGCCCCCAGGAGGACACGGAGGGGGCCGAGGGCGTGGCCGCGGGCAAGGGAACTGGAACATGGGCCCCCCTGGTGGCCTGCAGGAGTTCACCTTCACTGTCCCAACCATGAAGACCGGCCTCATCATCGGAAAAGGTAAGTGGCCCCTCTACCAGATGACACGTCATATCTGGTTAAATAACAGACTCAATTACAGTGGACTTGTGAATTAATTATGGTTTCTGAACTGTTCAGGCGGTGAGACGATAAAGGGCATCAGCCAGCAGTCTGGAGCCAGGATCGAGCTGCAGAGAAATCCTCCCCCCAACGCCGACCCCAACATCAAAATGTTCACAGTACGGGGCTCCCCCCAACAGATCGACTACGCCAGGCAGCTAGTCGAGGAGAAAATCGGGGTGAGACACCAAGAGCTAATTTTAAAGCCCCATTGGATATATTGCTTATTTTGTTAGCTTGTTTACTGACCAGGGTGTGATTCTGTGTTTTTAGGGACCTGTCACTCCGATGGGCGGGCCACACGGCCCCCCCGGTGGAGGACATGGAGGTCCAGGCCCACACGGCCCTCCTGGACCACCTGGACCCCCCGGGGCTCCCATGGGTCCATACAACGCCGGGCCATACAACCAGGGACCCCCAGGACCTCAGTAAGTACAGGGGCTGCTTGGTTTCACCCAAGCTGGACATCTTCACATGATGACAATAATATAAGATGTTTAGGGTAAATGAAATTCATGTTTTTGTTCTTTCATCAGCGGCCCACCAGCGCCTTACCAGCCTCAGGGATGGGGCAACGGATACCCTCACTGGCAACAAGGACAGCCGGATCCAAGTGAGCATCTACAGGGTTTGTTAAAAATACTTACTACAAAAATACTCCTTGAAACGTGTTTTAAAGTCCTGATTGACGGTGGCATTGTTCATTGGCTAAACACAAACAGCTGTGTCTGTTTACAGCTCTTATCTTAGGCTTTCTCTTGAACAAAATGTTTTTTATGTCCAGATAAAGCAGCAGCAGACGCCAATGCAGCAGCGTGGGCAGCTTATTACGCTCAGTACAGCCAGCAGCAGCCGCAGGCCCCCATGACCCCAACGAGCGGAGCTCCAGGCACGACTCAGTCCAACGGCCAAGGTGACCGAAGTCTCCATTAGTTCCTCTGAGAGAAGCAGAAACTTGAGGCAGGAGTAGAGCAGGGTAGCGTACTTGAGTTTGAGGCTAGTAGTGTTCTGTGCTCACATCTTCTTTGACGTGGTTTTGTTCCACCTTTAATGGGTTTGCAGAACATATTATTTGACCCCAGGATCGTTTCCCTTCAGCACCCAAAGCTGGTAGACCTGAACCCAGACAGGAGCAGACTCTGCTGAGAACGATTCACTAATTACACGGCGCCGTGTTTCTGTAACAGGTGACCCACAGCCTGCAGAGTGGACAGGCAGATTACTCCAAGGCCTGGGAGGAATATTACGGAATGGATATACGAACCTAGTTACAGTGTACTACTATTAACACAAGGCAGTCTGACATTTGATGCCTGTGCTGTTTAGACTGCAACACTATCTACAGGACTGAGCTGAGGACACAGAGCAGCCTTAGAGTAGCTTATTTTCTACATTATAATTGGGCTTTATGAATGAGTTGGAGTTTTCTGTGTCATGAATGGCTGTAAAGTTAAATGCAATATGTTTCATTTGTGTCTCATTAGATGCAATATGTTTCATTTGTGTCTCATTAGATGCAATATGTTTCATTTGTGTCTCATTAGATGCAATATGTTTCATTTGTGTCTCATTAGATGCAATATGTTTCATTTGTGTCATTAAATGCAATATGTTTCATTTGTGTGTCATTAGATGCAATATGTTTCATTTGTCTCATGGATGTAAGCCATGTAGAAGGATTTTCCTTTATGTTCATATTTTATTTCTAAACAGAAATTATTTGACACTTTATTGTCCTTCTGTTTGCAGGTCAGCAGAGTCAACAACCTCAGGATTACACAAAAGCCTGGGAGGAATATTACAAGAAACAAGGTCAGTACTCCTTCTAGTGAAATACTAAGTCCTCTTTTTAATTGCTTTATTATTCGATATGGTTTCTGATGCATCAAGTTATGATAGTGGTAACATATTCGACTCAATTCTGTTGATGCATTTATGTATGCATCAGTGCCTCTCTTGTATGTTTTAGTAATAGAGGCGTCCACCCTTCCGCGGGACCTTATTTAGAAAAAAATATGTATTGAAGTCAATGGCGAGAGAAAAGTTATCTTTCGATCCCGTTTGAATTGTGCCACGAATTACAGATATGATGATTGTCAATTTAAAAGATAATTTTGCAAGTAAACTTTCTTTCTTTTCTTCTGTAAAACTGTGAAGTAAGACTTTTAACCCGTTAAGCCCCAAAGACCCTTCGTGGGTCTTTTCTTTTTTTTTTTTTACCACACTGTCTCTGGGCATCGTAATATTTAAGAACCTATTAATGTGTTATACCAGATTAACGGAAATAATCTCAGCTAACTGACGATACAAACCATTTTTACCAAAACAAAACACAAGTCTCATAAGAAGCATCTAAATGACCCCTGAGCGAAAAATGCTAACGCACTTTGGCACAGAACTCAAGATAAAGATACCCTTATACCTTATCGTAGCTGCACATACAAGAAATCCGATTAAAGCTGAGATTCCACAGATTATTTAGGTATATAGTATCATCACTGAGTGATCCGAACTCGCGACAGGGGAAGCAAACGCAGACATAACACGTAGCTTTTACGGGAGATCGTCTCACCGTAGCTGTCAATCTGATCAAAATACGTGTTCAATGGCATTAAAACAAGAAAAAACGCGGCTGAATCGGTTAATCCGTAGGTTGATAATGTTTCTGTCGAATAATTTGTTTTATTTATAAACCATAAATCAATTTTTATGTAAAAATCGGAGAGTAAAGTTAGCTGCTAATGGTAGCCACCAGAGTTATCGCAGCTTCCGGTTTTGGCTATGCGTCAGTCTCACACACACATTACCAAATAATGAGTATGTGGGAGTTCCCCTCGATTCCATTGGCTCTGTCGGTTAGAAAGAGATGTCAATCAGCAAAATCGAGCAAGGGGGGCCAGAGATATGGAAAATCCACCCAAATGACCCCAGAAGTGTTTTTTTTGTGCTAAATCTCTCTAAAAGGGTCAAATTTCACTTGTTTTGCATCAATCTTGATACAGGGTACTTATTATATGTTGTAGTTTGGATTCCTAAAGCTCTTAGTCTACCATCCCATCATTCCAGGGTGGTTTTCACTATAAGTAATTTTCTTTTTTTGGACAGACACAATAATTTACATTTTTTTACTGTGTTCAATCTGAATTTACTTTAAAATAAAAACATCTATATTGATTCTGACACTTCTACATCCAACTCACAGGTGTAACCTTGCTTCGAGAAAAAAGATTGTTAATTTAACCCTTTTAGAAGGGTCTGATGATCATTTGTTCTGGGAATGTCATTTTCGAGCCTGAAACCTGAAAAACATGCTCGGGGCTTAACAGGCTAATGTGACACCAAGATGGCCGTCACTACTGTCTTGCCAAACAAGGGATTGATACCCTCACTATCACCACAATGAAACACGTCCAGAAGAATGTCATGCAAAGCTGCCTGCCTGCCTTTGATTCTCCCTGAACTGCCTGCTCTTTTTAATGTTAAATGTCAACCATTTGTGCAGATGGCATGAAGTAGAACAGACCGCCGATGCTAATGTAGCGTTAGCATTTCTCCCCCGGGGGCATCCGGGCTTAAACGGTGTATTATAGAATGATCACACTGGTGTGACAGTATTCTTCAAAGAGTTCACGAAATATGACTACTACTCTTACTGTTTAACATTTTGGGTTACTTCATGTTACTTCATGTTAAGGCTAATAAAAATGACACGGCTAAGCCGGCTGTAATGCTAACTAACGTGCTTGCTACTAGCTAGGTAGCTAACTTAATCCAGCCAGCCACTCCTGGTCCTTTCATCAGACGGGAAGCGAAAGAACGATCAAGACCCATTGCTGGTATGATAACAACCTGGTACTAAGCACACAGGCATCTTGTTAAAGTTACCTTATCTTAGCTATCTCTTATATTTAGTGGATCACTTACGCGACTCTGGGATTTGTAGTCTTTCTAGTTGCGTATTTTTCATAGTCTTATATTTCAACAGTTTTACGACAAACTGAGTTTTTTTACATGGAAATTATTTTTAAGATTGACAAACATCATATGTGTAATTCGTGGCACAATTCAAACGGCATCGAAAGATACGTTTTCTCTCTTCATTGACTTCAATACATACTTTTTCTGAAATAAGGCCCCATGTGGAAAGGGAAAGGAAAGGGAGGGACTTCGCCTCTATTGCGACAATCGGGAATAAAGTTTGGTCAATAAACTTGATATAAAGTGGTGCAACTTGGTTTTCAAAGGCAAACTAAGTAGTCATGAAGTTTGACCCTGATTGTAAGAGTCATCTCATAGAAACTGAGTAGTTTATATTTTCAATGGCTGAAAAAAGGAGAAATGTTTTTGTTGTTTTGATTCAAATGATTTTTTATGTTGAAGGGTGGCTGTGTTCATTCAGCAGCCCTCTCTAGTAGAGTGTCTGCTCTCCCAGCCGCCCAATATAAAGGCAGAAGGATTCTGTCCTACCACCTATAGGAAGTGGTGGTGGGTTCGTTCACCTTCTTATAAAATGATACAAGGGGCCCCATCATGCTTATTTGGGTTTCCCTTTCCTCTAGTGTGTTATATAGGTTTTGATGCATGTAAATTGTCTGCAAAGGCTAACATCCCAAAGTCAACACCCCCCTCCTGAAACTCCTCCAGTGAACTCCTTTGTTTAGACACTGACATCACTATGTAACACTTCTATTGGCTAGTAACACACGTGATAACATAATCTACTGTGCTGTGCTCATTTTCCTGAATCTTATCTCCGTGCCAACAATCTCTCTTGTTCCCCCTGCAGGTCAAGCGGCCCCTCAGGCCACCGCGGCCGCAGCAGCTGCCTCTCAGCCTGGCGGTCAGCCCGACTACAGCGCAGCCTGGGCGGAGTACTACCGCCAGCAGGCTGCGTACTACGGCACAGCAAACCCAGGAGCAGCACCACAAGCCCCTCAGGTACAACCCCGATAAAATGCCCGCCACACCACTGCATATTCAATTCTTTAGTGCCGTAACCGCCTTCCCTCCTCAGGGTTTACAGGGCTCCAGTGACGGCCGCACCTTCACACACACTTAACCAAAACGACTTCCTCCCTAAACAGGTTTTAAGCTTTTCTTTTGGGAAGCTGATTCGCTGATTCCGCTGTTAACATGCAATGTATCTTCTATGTATTTCTTCTGCACAGGGCCAGTAATGTGAAGCGGACATAGAGTAAATGCTACATTGTCGAAACAAAATCCTTTGTTAAATGTTTGGATGCAGCCGCCTTGATGAAGATCTTAAATTCCCTTGGTTTGAAAGTGTTTCACATAGATGGCAGATTTCCCGGCGAACACGTCCTTCTCCTTTTTTTGTTTTTCCTTTTTTCTTGTAAATGCTTTGTTTTTAGTGAGGTAATTATACATATGGTCATTCCAGCCCTGTATCTACATTAAATGTGGTTAGAACTCATGTTTATTAAGCTGTAGACATTACCATGTAAATCATCTCAGTTTTAAAATGCTATTACCTGTTGTGTTTTTGCAATAAAACAAACTTAAACCTCCTGTGTTGGTAAGTTGGGGTGGTTTTAAAGCATAAGGGTAAAGAGGAATTTCTGTATGTTTTACCGAGGGGGAGGGAGGTTTCAAACGCTAGCCAGGGTTTATTGTCCAAAATGGTTGACTCAAAGTTGTGCTGTCCTGTCTCTCTCCAACTGTCTATAAGGCTCTTAGATGCATTATGTGCGTGCAATGATCCCGAGTGGTTCAGACCAACAAACGTCCTTGTTGATAGACATTTATTTTTACACTTGTTTCTGATTTTGCTCTGCAGTAGAGAGATGTTTTGTCACAAGAAAGTCGTCAGGTATCCATGTTTCGTATCATGCATTAACTGCGTTGCTGTGGCACTCCCTTTTTTATATAATTCTGTCTGGTTTGCTGACATTGTTGAGGTAGTATGCACTGTATTTTGCCTTGATATAGACACTTCCTCCTCCACAGGCAAATTAAAAAAAGCGGTAAGCAAGTATTCTTCCTTAACATGTTCCTCAGAAAACGTGGTTGCAAGAAATGTTGCATATTTTTAGTGTTATATATATCTCTCTATATATATTTTTTGTGCTGTTCTTCTTCCAGGACAGTCAGGTAAATTGCCACTGTATCAAAAATGCATTGAAACGTGTGTCTTGACCTTTTCAAAATGCGAACTAACTCACATGTATAAATTTGTTTTTTTTATAAACAAATGTTTTTTTAATATAAAAACATTGCAAAAAGTCGTTTTGCTGTCCATTCTGTTAGTGTTTATCCAATATAAGGACATAGATGTTGTAGGGTCGTGTGGCTAAGCAGTCTTCATCCATCAGTTGAGCCCTCCTATACTGTAAGTACAAAACTGTGACTGACTTCAGACATAAAAGCCTTTTTTGATGCATTCTGAACTGCAAAAATATGTAGTATTTTTGTCCAAATATTGCCATTTCCCCCCATGTCACTGGGTAAGTATGAAATGTTCTGAGGAGAGGAATAGTGCTTTAGATTACCACATGTTTCTGAGACTCATTTCCCCTTGTGTGACTCACATCCAGACTTTGAATCATTTACAGTATGCTGATACTTGTAGATTGTTAGACTGTTTGTGAAGGAAGCATTTTGTTGGATTTCTGAACTGAGGGTTTGAATGTCAGCGCTCTGTTACACTGTTGGTAGGAACTGTTATTAAGGATGTGGTTTTTGCGTTTTTGAATACCTGACCTGCTAAGTGCCATTGTCTAGTTGTCATGTTTTCTTTAATAATGCCATTCATTACAACATATTTCTAAGAAAAGTCCTACTGCATAACTCAAGTGTAGCATGCTTAGGTTCCATAACTTTTATCTCCTATCTCAGCATGTGGAATGCTAGTAGTGGAAGTGCTTTCTGACGAGCCCCGTATTGATTTTCTGACATATTTTTCTGAATAAGCACTGTTGTGAAAGGCTGTTAATTGTAAGCATTGTTCACTGATGGCAAACAGTGCGTTATATCTGATCTTTGCAGCGTCGTCCCAGACCTTGCACCTTAGGTTCTGCTGCAATAACACAGGTAAGCGAAACCTAAGGAAACAGTGTTTTTGTCAAGAGACATTACCAATTTACATGCAAACAAATGCTTACCTGTGAATTTAACATGCATTTTATGCCTAGTCGTAAAAAGAAATGTCCAGGATATAATATCTGAAGTATGAACAGCCTTTTTTTTAAAAGATGATCTGCTTTCATGAATGAACTGCATGATGTGCGCTGTATGATTTGTTGACTTTTCAAAAAGTGACGTTATCCAGAAAAAGTTGTTGCATAGGCTCACTGAGGAAATGTTGTCTTTTTCGTCTGTCCTTAACATTCGATGATAGCCTTATCTTTGCATCCCGGTAAGTCTCACAGCGACTGTTTCGATGCTTTTAGACATTGGTTTATCCACACTGCATGCCATGCTGTCAGAAGTTAGCAATGCAACCTGTAGTTTAAAAGGAAAACGGTGAAATACATGATTTATTATTTTTCTGTCGTGGTGTGAATCTGCTCTCAAGTGCAGTGCAAATCTCCTATTGAAACGCTGCTGCCTTCACTTCTCGCTCACAGTGTTGGTCATAGATCAGGCCCTGTCGTAGTTTGTCCCCAAAAGGAGTCAATCCCCACTGCTGAACGTAGACCGTTCAAGAGCTCCAGTGATAAGGTAAAACAGCAACGCAATGACATTTAAATTCTGTGATTGCAAAGTGTTGGTCAGATATATGTCTTTCAGCTCGGATTACTGTCTATTATAACCATGATTGCCATAGTGTATTTAGAGTTGTCTGATGGTTTCTTTTTCGCTTGAATGCCTTCTTTAATACCTTTTCATATATATAGGAATGTGCTTTAGAAAGTTGGACGAGGACAGGAAGTGATGTACTTTAAATCACATGTTTTATTGGCAGTAACATTTGGGGGTCATCTATTTTTTCAAACCTTATTCTGTAGTTTAAAGGGTCACTTACTGTCTGTCTACATGTGAAATGCTCAGTGTTTCAACACAGAGGTCGGGGGTGGGTGTAGAAGACAAAACAAGAAGCATGCCTTAGAGGTAAAACAGATTTCATGTGATGTGTATATTATCAAATATTGTTTGTTTTTTGAATCAGCTGTTCTCACTTTGATATGTTGCCATGTTCATAATAAAGTTGTAAGAAATGATCTGGATGCATTCACCGGAGTTTTATTTCACTTTCATGTTATCCTTTTGGGGGTTTTCCATTCCCTGGAGTGTTATGGGTTTGGTCTGAAAAGGCTAAAATCCTATACTTCTGGATCATAGTGATATCACTGTAACACACTTCTATTGGCTGGTGCTCCAACAAATAGTACATGATGGGCGGCACATCTTGAAGCGGTTGACTGGCCTGAAAATGAGCATAATTGGGCCCCTTTAAAAAGTAAAATCAAACACATTCTCAAGTCTATATATTTGCTTTATTTATACACAAACAACTCACGAATGTAAAAATGTCTGCTTTTTTGCCAAGATAAACCTTAAAGGATAGTTTCACATTTATCATCAAATGCCTTTACCTCCCCTTTAATAATGCAACTGAACAAATGGGGTTAAAATTGCTTTAAAAAAAATAAAACTTCAATGTACAGCCCACTCAAAGGCAAATGAAGAACTTCCAGAATTGGTGTCTGTGCTGTCACCGCTATTTCAAGTAAAGTAGTCCTACAACAAAAAACAAGATCGATTTCCTTTTTATTTACCCAATTATTCATTCTGCAAAAAATGATGTTGACATGTCTATTAATAAAGTAACCTAAATATAATTTACTGCTATATACCAAGAAAACCAAAACATGTTGACATTGAAGAAACCTTGGAAAGAGTGACTTAACACTTTGAAACTTCTACAGATTAATGAACGGTTAAATCTCAAACCTAGCGGTATTGATATGACCTTACTGTGACTGAAGAGGCCTCACAACTTCAAACATTACCAAGAGGAACATCCAGTTATTTTAAAGTGCATTGTATTCTGCTTTATGGTGCACCTTTTATATAAATTAAACCATCCTGTAAAGAACTAACAATGTCAATACCTCCTAAAATATCTAACACAATGCATACAATTCTTCAGTTTTCTTCTGCTGCTCAAAGCTGTTCTGTACATGGCAGTGACTGATGAGCGGAGCAGACAACAATCTTTATATATAGTATTAATAAGACTGACATTCAGTGATGAAGACAAGGCTGGAACATGTGATTTTGTAGTAAGGCTTTTAGCGTGTTTTGTAGTGAAAAAGCTGCAGTGGTGTGTAATCTTGTATTTCCTGTATCGAAGGTATAATGGGATTTATACGGTGCCAAAAATAACAGCTTCCAGGAGTCTAAATGTAACGACCAACTCATTTAACATTTCCCTTTTTAAGTGATGTGCTTGTCACAAAGTACATGTAATTGTTTGCATTGTTGATGTGCAGTAGGATGTTGAAATACATCTAATACATCTCAGATTATATGACATTCATACTATATTTTTGAAGCAGATCAAAAATCAATCAATGCTCACAGGCACAACTACAAGCTTTAAAAAATATAAATAAATCCTGCATCATTTAACTACTTAGTAAAATAAATACTGAAACACCCTTCTTCCTAACCGCAATAAATATGCTAAATTTACACAGCAGAATATACACTGCGATATAATTACGATCAAATGTCTCAGCTTTTTTACGTATTATTGCTATGGTTTTGAAACGTGCGCTGCCATGGCACAGAGAATAGGGAGCGGGGAAAAGGAGGCCATACAAGTGTGAAGGCAAGGTACAGTTTATCCTCACATACAGAGCAATGAGAGCACAAAGCATGATGGGAGATGTGATGTCTGACCACGGTGAAACTGTGATACATTGAATTCCTTAAATGAGAAGTTTTGTGCAACAGATGAGTGGAAAGTAAGTCCGACAGATGACCTGTAAACTCTGCAGACGGTAAACTGTCGTGTTTCGATGCTCTGGTATTTTTTGGGTGTGTGTTCTCCTCTCACTGCACCCGGGACTCCATCAGGTTGCTAGGCAGCAGCGTCACCTTGGCGGCGCTGCAGATGTTGGCGTGCCGCAGCGACTCGGCTCCCAGGTAGGCCAGCAGCAGCTCGGAGCGGCGGTGCAGCAGGTGCAGCATGTCCTCCGCCAGGGTCTCCACCGAGGAGTACCGCACCTTGTCCAGGTCGAAGATGTCCTTCAGGAAGTACTGCACCTGGTCCTGGGGGGAAGGAGAGATCAGTCAGGACACTGAGGCAGATACTTCACAGAAATATTCCCGTAGAATCGTTTTTTGTTGTTGTCTTAAATACTTATTTTGGAGCACATATTTGGTCAGGATATTAAAGGTAGGGTAGGTAAGAATGGAGAACCCAGCTCGAGTGTGCTAGAACTACGCAGCCGGAAAAAATCTGCTCCTTCCTTCAGACTTCCTTACAGAGCCCCTCCTCCAACACACACATGACCAATGAGGGCACGAGATAAGTTTGTGCCCAGATGGAAGGCTGACAGGCAGGTAGGCCATCCAGTTATTTTAGCCGGGCCGGCTCAAATGATTGGTCGTGCTTTTTACAGCGCCACGGCTTCCAGATGACATTTTTTTGTCAAAGCACTTAAGATATTCATTGCTATCGGGATGTTAAGAACATTCCATGGAATATAACACAAAGTGTATCTCGAGCCGGTTTCTCAAACTTACCTACCCCACCTTTAAGAGATATGAAACTTTAGCTGTGACGCCATTAAAAGTAGAGACCCTATTCATCAGATGGTTCTGGCAGGTATAAAGTCCGTATCACATAACGTTTTGGGGCACAGACGGACCTTGAAGAAGCAGCAGAAGTCGTGCAGCGAGCTCTTCGGCCCCAGGATGCCCCAGGCCAGCACCGGGCTGATCTGCTCACACACAGCGTAGAAGTGAGCGATGAAGCCGTCGGAAACCTGAGACACAGAGAGAGGAGGCGGTCATTAAGAACATGAAATAGGATTAGATAGGATTTACTGTAGGAATTCTTAACTAGCCCTGAAATAAAAGCTGTCAGAAAGAAAAGAGGGGGATTCATATACAAATGTTTGAAGATGTTGGACTTTTACCTTCATGTGCTGTCTCTTCTGCTTCATCACTGACCAGCAGCTGGATGCCACCGCCTGCGAAAATACATAAAGGTGTAATCATCCATGGAAAGCCCCAATAGGAAAACATTAAAAGCACAAATCATTTCATTCAAACAAGGAAACTAGAGTTGTATGTAACTACAGTATTATTGTTCAGAAATCCTTGAATTGTTAATTATAATGTAGTATTTTCAAAGTTTTGAGTGTGTGGAATTGAATTATAAAGTGCTTGTAATTGTCCCCCTTCTAAAGAAAACTGTCCATAAATGTATGTTTTGCTTGTTTATAGCAAAATGTATTTGATTGAATGTAATAATGAAGTCACATGATCAGTTCACTGCATATAAAGTGTGTTCTGTATATAAATAGCTAATTTACAACAGCTGTAATGGAAAAGCTTGAAAAGTGCTTGACTTTGGCCCATTTTACAAATTCAAGCACTCCCTTGCTGGGCACTTGTTTCCTCACCGTCTCCTTGAAGGAGCTGTTGAGCCAGCGGTTGTTGATCACGTTCTGGATGGAGACGGGAGGATTCTCCAGATCCTCAAAGGAGTCCATCAGGATGAAGTCCAGCACGATGTCGTAGAAGTTCAAGTGCTTCACCTGGTCAGGGAGAGGAGGGAGTGTTACACTTTGAAAAGAGGACATCTTCTTGGTAGCTTGTTGAATTCTGACAGCGGACAGTCAGACGACATGGATATATATATATATAATATGTATCAGAAGAAGCAGCGTCGTACCCCTCGAGTGGCGAGCTCCACCTCCGTGTTCTCCCAGTGCTCCGTGTGCTCCACGAAGGAAATCATCTCCTCGAACACTTCCTCAAACCTCTTTGGGCTCTGGAAGTAAATAAACATTGAGGAAGGGAAGCACTCTTATCAAGTCTTAGAACTCCCACGATCTGTCTTCAGGCTCACCTTCTGTGCTTTAACAATAATTGAAGACAGAATTTTCTTTCCCGTGTCAGCCAGAAACATCCGGGTGGTTCTGTCACACAGGATGAGCTGGAGAAAAGACGACATTTGACTCAAACAATGTACAATTCAAATTCAACACCTAATGGCTGTAAATGTGTGAGTTAAACCGTTCCTATCTTGTGTAGTAATGTCATGTTTTTAGTAATGTAGCAATTTGAATACTAGCTGGATGTTTTCAACACACCAATAAAAATTGGCTAGAAACACATGGAAGCAATTTAGTCAAAAATAATGAGCTGGCAATTCAAATGATTACATGAGTTAACGTCCATCATGATATGTTTGAATGAATTCGGTTATTCTGTACCTGACAGGCCTGCCGCACACAGTGCAACTTGGCGAGGAAGTCGATGTCTCCGTGACACCCGAGCATCTCAGTCCTGACGAAGAACACCAAGAAAAACATTAGATCAAATGTTGGCAGACAAAGCAATGAATTCCTCACAATATGTTTCAGGAAGGTACATATTTATACATATATAAATTACCGCAGCACTCTGCAGGAGATCTTTCCGTCCTCGGCCATCTTCAGCGCCTCCTCGTAGAAAAGGTGAGGAACCAGAGCGAGGACGCTGCGCAGCTCTCGGTGCTCCGCCAGCTGAAAGAATGGGATTGTGGATAATGATCATTTTAAATCATAATTAATGCCGTTAATATTTACATTAATGATGTGACCATCTATGTTTCCTGTAGTTATTGAATTGCTCTTTTTACTGCACTGTTAGTGAACAGTTTTATTATTATTGTGCTGCTGTGTTTATTGTATGTTTGTAACTCTGGCACAACAAGAGAAGAAGACCAGATTACAACTAAATACTATTTACTTTAAGGTACTTTGTGAGGAAATATCAAGGCAAAGGAATTGTAGAATCCGCACAGTTCGTATGCTGGAAATATTTTTTATAATTTACTGTTTCGATATGTTTTCAACAGCTTAAAGTGACAGGAGAGAAAATGTGCTAATAAAGCTGTGTTCTATTCAAGGTGGCCTTTAAGGATACACTTTGAGCTTCACGGTAGAACTCCATTAAATCACCATTATGAGTTATAGATGCGCCGATTTCCACTTTATAAAGAGCAACTTCTGACCGCACAGAGACCTCCCCGTGTTGACGAGGTGTTGGGAGATTACAGTGGAAGCAGCTGCAGAGTGACAGTGAGCTGCATGTTGTAAAGTGAAGAATGTTGAAGCTCTATTTATAACTCAGAGTGACGACCCGGTTTAATCTCTGCCTCCTCTCACCGCGGTGTAAATGTCACACAGGGTTGAGGAGGGTGTGAAAACCATTATCAAAGCTTTTTCGTTTTTGAAGATAAATGTACTTATTTACAGGTGTTAATATCTGTATATCTTCAACAGCTATTTACTTGATATGCTGTGTGGAGATGTGCAGCACCTTCAGCTCGGGGGCAGGGGGGGATTTAAGCCTCAAGGAACAAGTCAGTAGCCGACCAGTTTATTTCTATACTTTGTGGGTCAAGTGCACCAGTAGCAGTGGAGACACAGACAGAGCCCCCCCCCCCCCAGTGACTTAAAGAGATCAGCTGGGAGCTGCAGGTAAACACCAGGGAGGGGGGGGGGGGGGGGAGACTGAAGCTATTTTAATCAAACTCCTGCTGTGAACGACTTGTAGAGTATTTGATGCTTAGTGCGGTTTGTGATTTACACTTGTTCTTGTTTCAGGTGCTGGATTAAGGAAGGACTCACACTTCACTAATATACCTCTCCCAGTGTTTCCCCTACATTGATTTAATTGTGGCGGCCCGCAATAATTTTATTTTGGTGGTCTAATCTAATGGATAGTGAGGTGGGCTGAGTTCAAATCCCGCCTGGAACACCATCACCTCAGTTACTCCAGGGAGAACGTCCCTGTAATTGTCACTTTGGAATGAGGCGTCTGCTAAATGCCTAAATTGTATTATATTTTTGGGAGAATAAACCCCACAGATGTATTTTCTTATTTGAGGTTAGGGTTGCGTGGGCCACCCGAATAGGTTAAGGAGCCTCTGGCTTTTCTTGCCGGGGGAGAGGGGGGGGGATCAAATAACACTGCTCTCTCACTGATACTTTTGTTTGTTAGCAGGATTTCAGAAAATCTAGAGGGCCGATTTTCATTTCATATTCACTTTTTAGTCGAAGGTTGTATCATGGGGCAAGGAACAACTGGAGTGGATATGAATCATGGGGCAGAAACACAATTATTTGTTACTTTAGTTATACTTGCTAAAATGGGCATTTAGCTTCGGCAGGGGTTTGTGTTCGACAACAAGCTGGTATATATTTTTTATAACTAATATACTATACTAAAAATGTATATGTTTTGTTGACAGTTCTGCTGTTTAAGTGGCCGTGTCAGACCTGACCTTTACCTCTATTAAGCTTACCATTGATAAAAAGATGCCAAATTGGCTGTAAATAGAAAGGATGTATGTTTCCATCATGTATTTTCAGACATGTGAATCCAGGCATCTGAAACGCATTCTAGATGAGGGCAATAAAAGCGTAAAAGTTCCAGCCACAATTCTGAGAAGGCGCTTGTGGTTTTTGACACCTTGAGGCTGTGAACAATGGGTACGAAGACAATGAGGCACAGGATGCAGGCGGCCTACACACAGATTCTAATCAACTTCCTGGGCCAGCGAATCATAGAGACAAGCTGCTTCTGTTGCCTCAGTTAATAAATGAAGTCTCTGTTAATGAATTCAAGTTTAAAGTTTGCATATTTGAAATTGAAATGTTTAAAATGACATTGACAATGTGTTCTGCTTTCAAGACAAATGTTCATATTCCCTCTCTTTAAAATGACATATCATTACTATAAATCTTGTTATTTTTTAATGTTCAATAATTAAAAGTCGAACATTTGTGACCTCCTTCTGACTCAAAGAGAGGAAGGGGGATGAAGACTATAAAGAAGAATAGAGAAGAAGAAACAAGGCTTTTTTAGGACATTTGACTTGGTGTCTTTTTTAAGGATTCTTGTAATCCTCTTTTTGTTAAACCTTAATAAAACCGGTTTGTACTTTGTACATTTCGACCCAACTCCTGGTCTCTCTCTGGTGGTCTCTGACGGTATCTGCTTGGTCTTAGAGTGAGGTAAGAACACCCTTCCCTGGAAAAGGCTGACATTAGTTGATAATTTTTATTTTAAATTGTCTAAGGGGAATAGAAACTCTGCTAAGGTTAAACTATTGTTTCACATTGTGGTTTTGATTGATGTTGAAATATGACATGCTCTGCTGATGTGGTGATATTACTGCTGTCATATTAATATTTAACTCTGGATGGTAGTGTCACTGCTGTGACATTAATGTTTGACTCTGGCTGTGTTTGATATTACATTTGCATTGTTTTGATTGGTATAACTGGGGATCAAAATTGGGGGTTAGGGATTGTGGGTCCTGAAGCTGCCCTAATTACCAAGGGGTCTCCCAACGACACGGGGTTTCCCCTCCAGGGGCAGTTTAGATACTGCTCTGGGGTTCTACCAGCCCACCAACACCTATTACACTATACACTCCGTTTTTCTATCCTAGCGGTCGGACATCCGAGGCTGGAGTGCCTAAAATAGGGATACGACGGGCAGTTTGGTGTTAGAGGCCACGCTGTAAACGCCCCCCTAAGCAGATTACACTGATCTTGTGGTGTAGATTATTTTAATTACATTTCCTTTTTTGTTTTGTGTATTTTATACATTTTGGATTTGCTTGGCGAGCTATTTTTAGAACATGCCCCGCGGGCGACTCACGTTGCCCCTGCGGGCGACTCACGTTGCCCCTGCGGGCGACTCACGTTGCCCCTGCCGGCACCATGTTGGCTACCCCTGGCCTAGATATTAACGTTGGTTGTATCGAAGTTAGATTCCTTTTCAGTTTGTAAATTGAAACTTTACGGGTACTTTTGAGTCATTCACACTTCGCATTTCTTTCCCCCAACAACCAACAAGGACATGTATAAAGTGTTGCATTTAGGCAGCTAGCTGTAGTGTTTCTTCATTATTACTTATTATTGTTTTTTAGGAATATGTCCATCCAGAAAATGGACTTTGCTTGATGAAATATTTCCCTAAAATGTACGAGGATGTTCTTATTCAAGCATAAAGAGTTCCTAGGATGCAAGTAGAATATATATATTTAAATATGCTGCATTTATAGTCCCTATTGTTGTTACCTCAGCAGCCGACACAAAGGAGTCGTTGGAGGCGATGCTCATGCTGTCCCTCAGACACACGTCGTCCAGCTCCTCTCTGGACAGAACGTCCAACATCATTTCATCTGAGGAAGGAGAATCATTGAGTTGCTTATCGCTGTATGGATCATGGACAGTTCATAGTGTGAGAGACTCACCCTGGCAGAGGGACGAGGGCTCCGACAGACACAGCACCCCCTCAAACTCCTCCTGCAGGCTGTAGGCTCTCTGCAGCAGAGACTTCAGCCGGAGGAGGAACTCTGCACTCATCCCCTCCTGAACACACAAACATCTGGTAACCACGGACACACGGCTCACAAAGCCTAGAGAGTAAACCGTTTTAAGTAACAACAGCATTTTACAAACAGGACATACAACGGTATATGCTACTCAAATGCAACTCAGTTTGTTAAGAGGATACATTTCATTCCTGATTAAGGTTTTTAACTTTGAAGGGATGAGATTATTATGGTTGTTGTGGCGAAGAGGATGCTGCTTTACTGCAATTTATGTTTATTATTGACGGCGTTTTGGTTGCTGACTGCTTTTTTATTTCATTCTTTATTTATATCTATGTTTCTTTGTTTGTTTTTTCTTTGTGTGTAGCTCTGGTATTTAGGCATATTTCAATTGTTGCGTTTTACCTTTGTCTTTTACAGTGTTTTACAATATTTGGACACATGCAATGATTTAACCTAATAAAACCCAATAAACAAAGTTAGAAAAGGAAGGGTTGATAGCAGGCCCCCTAATGTTTGAACAAGTATCAGCTTGAAGCGAGATCAAATAAAGACATTTTACATTTTTAAAACCCTATCTCCCTCTAAAGATCCCCTTCTTTGTGTCTTGATGATTCCACTTTTTAGCTTAACTTATCAACCTTTTGATAATCTTTGTTTAGTGGCAGGACTGAGGAGAGGGTACTGTTGTTTTTGAGGACTTATGCAACAGACTGGGCATATGTTTGGGTGCCAAGATTAACTATTCGAACCGCACTAATCCAGTTAGCCGTTAAACAATCCAACTCAAAGTGCTGTTTACTCATGTGTGACCTGGAGCACTGATAGAGGGCAACATGTTCTATCCACCTTCATCTCAAAGGAAAGTAGATGGAGTACAGAAATATTGGTTATTTTTAGATCAAGTTTAACTCAGCTGTTTCTTTTGTCGGGTGCATTTATAGGAAAACATACAGTTTTCCAAACATACAGGCAGGGCTCTGATTAGGCGTGGCATTACCCTGTATATGTTAGATTGGAGTTAAATAATGAGGTGTGTTTCTGTGTGTTCACCTCCGTGCCCTGCTCAGCGACAGCTTCTTCTTCTCCTGTTTTGACGGATTCACAGCTGGCGTCGTCTTCCTCCTGTCTGCTCCTGAACGTCAACGCCTCCTCCCACCGCCTCAACGCCTCCTCGAATAGATCCATACCTGCAAACACACAACAACAAAATAATCTGAGTCTCCTTGAACATCCAATACCTAAAAAAGCTCAATTTTGAAACAAGGCAACCCCCTAAAAAGGATGGATTTAATTATTTCAACAAATTCACTGCAAGTCTCCTAATTACAAACACTGTTTCTCAATGTCGAGTAAAGCTGCTGCAGAGCCACTATTTCAAGCATACTACGTCATCGAGTGGCGCCGAAGGACTGTTTAAATGCCCAGCATTCGGCGCCACTCGATGACGTAGTATACTTGAAATAGTGGCTCTGCAGCAGGTATACTCGACATTGAGAAACGGCCACTGTGAGGTGATGTAGTGTGTGTGTGTGTGTGTGTGTGTGTGTGTGTGTGTGTGTGTGTGTGTGTGTGTGTGTGTGTGTGTGAGACCATCGTTGCTAGTCGGCTCCTATCAGCGGCTACATGTGACAAGCGGTTTCAGATCACAGTTGTGTGTAAATCGTTGGTTAGTTGGTTTTGTTTGTCTTTCAAAAGACGTTTTGATTGCTGGCTGTGTGATGTGTTCAAGTACAACTTTTAACAGAAGAGCATAATGGAGGCGTGTGTGTGTGTGTGTGTGTGTGTGTGTGTGTGTGTGTGTGTGTGTGTGTGTGTGTGTGTGTGTGTGTACTGTGTACCCATGAGGTAGAGGTTTTCAGGTGTGGTCACAGGTAAGTTGACCACACTGCAGATGTCCGCCTCCACCGCTCTGTCCCAGCAGATGGACTCATTTGCGCAGGTGCTGCTGCTCGATGAGTTCATGCTTTTCACCTGGAAATACACACAGGGGAACAGAGTTAGATTTCAAGCAGTGAACGCATCGAAAACAAGAACATATTTCGTATTAATTGCCTATAATATACAATGTTTTATGTGTATGGTGTTTGTCGTCTTGTAGGTCAGTTCCAAAGACACATTTCCATTTTATTCTGATTTAATGGACAATAAAGTTATTTGAATGAGTGAGGTACGCCGTCAGAAGGCGTGATCTTACTCATGTTTCAGAAATATTCAACAGTTTCTCTCTTAATGTTTCCTTATTGCATTCTGTGTCTGGGTTTGACATATTTACAAACCCTGCCTTGGTCTTACCGAGGCCAGGCTCAGCAGAGAGCCGGACAGTTTCCTGTAGTCTCCTGAGTTAAGAAGCAGACCGGAGGAGAGGCCTTTCTTTGAGTTGAGGGACAGAGTGATGTTCCGACTGGTGTTATCTGGGGAGATGAAGACGAGAGTTCAGAGATAATGATTGAGTCAAAGATCAGAAAGCAGTGATCATATGAAATTAGCACGAATGGATAAACTGTGTTTGTTTTGTTAAGGGACTTCTCTGGCACATGGACAGCTGTGTTTATCAATGTGCACTGTCCCTTTCCTGGGGATTGAACTCACATCCCTTTTTAATGATTGACTTTCTGACTCCCCTGCTGCTAATAGCTAGTTTATCAGTTCATTTCACTCTGGGACTGTTATCAGTGTAAAACATTTCAAAATGAGATTAAATAAGTTAAAAATCATTTATCTGCAGCCTGCTGTTTACAGTTCAAGGTGACACAGCAGCACAACATGATGACATGACAAACTGTTAGTTAACTGAAGAGGTATCACAGGGTTTTACCGTTCCCTCCTGCGGCCGAAGAGATCAACTCGAAGCCGTCCTGCTCCCACTGAGGAGAGAGAGTCTTCTTCCTGCCCTTCCTCCTCTGGAAGCGGCGAGCGAGGAAGAGGAGCGAGACGGCGCCGAAGGCAGCGGCGGCCACCAGCTTCTTGGTGCCTGAGCTGACATCGAGCTGGAGGACAGGCAGAGGGAGGAAGAGATTACACTTTAATGTTTATTCATCTTAAAAAGAAGCCAGAGCAGCAGAATTGTTATTTTCTATTTCATTTGATATTAAAAAAGTCTCTGTAGCTCCATATCCTGTTAGTGAATTGTCACATGCCTTACCCTGACTGTTGAAGAGGGAAATGTTTTAAATTGAAACTCGAAACCGTTACATGTGAAACAGATTGAGAAGGAAGGTAATGTTGCCAGTCATTACCACTTGATACAGAATCATCTAACATGTGTTCACAGCACAGAGTATTGAAAACTCTTGCACAGCTGTTTTGTAATAATTCAAAATAAATATACAGGAAGAAAAATAATTGCTCATGATAATTTGATAATTGCTCCACTCATTTTTCCAAGTAGAAATTATGACTCATTTCCAATATTCTCTAATTGCCTGCTCTTAAATATTTTGTTGTCATACGTCATTTTAAAACGTTTTTTGTAACTTTTGGTTGAACGAAAGAAGACGTTTGGCTCTGTGAAGTTGAAATGGTCATTTTCTGACAATTTCTGATGTATGATAGACTGACTATGAGCGTTATTTGAAAACAAAAACTCATTCATCAATAATTAAATCAAATGGTGTTTGCAGCTCAGAGCAATGTTCTTTAAATATTGTAAGAACAGTCTGCCACCTAAAGACAACATAGGCAGACTGAGGCCATACAGCTGTGCTTAAAAAGAGACTATTGCAGTCCACAGTAACATAGAAGATTGTTCTCCAGCAACACAGTGTAGGTAAAGGTCTGATGAAAGTGAGAGACAGCACAAAGGGCAAACAAAAGATAACAAGCAGTTGCATCAGGTTGCCAGAGAGAGTTCATCTGAGGGTGCATAACTCTCCAGAGGACAGAACACACAGCGCTGAGGCTCAGCTGCCAACCTGTCATCCACATTTTAAAGAATCATCTTCCTATAGAGTGCAGTGCACCCCCACCTCCCACTCTGTCTATAGATAGAAACACTGACCCAGGACAGAGAGATTATCCAGACACTGCTGCTGCATATTCCCAACAACTGAAGATTACATAAACACAGTGTGGAGCTCTCACTGCGCAGTCGTATTGACTTTTTAAAAAGCCACTAAAAGGGAATGGGATGATTGAAATGGTGCCACAGTGTTTCCTTTCCTGTGAGCAACACAAGTCAGACGTGCTCAGATCAGATTCTTCATGAAATCAGATCTGCTTCATGACTCTGGCTGGCCACACACACACACACACACACACACACACACACACACACACACACACACACACACACACACACACACACACACACACACACACACACACACACACACACACACACACACACACACACACACACACACACACACACACACACACACACACACACACACACACACACACACACACACACACACACACACACACACCACACACACACACACAACACACACACACACACACACACACACACACACACACACACACACACACACACACACACACACACACACACACACACACACACACACACACACACACACACACACACACACACACACACACACACACACACACACACACACACACACACACACACACACACACACACACACACACACTGAAAGAAAATATCGACTACGTAGCAACAATAAACAGATGTTTGTTGTAGCTATACTGTGCCCTCTAGATTAATGAAATACAGATTGAAAAACATACGAGTAAAGTATAGAGAACTGTTGAAGGAATGTCAGACTTTTTGGGGACAGTGTGGATATTTTGATGCGTGCCAGTCACGATTTTTCAAGAAAATGTCGCAAAAATATTGGAGGTTTAGGAAACGGTAGGTTAATTGTAACAATATATACTAAAGTCTCCATGTGTTTATGAAGCTCTCTTTGTAATTAGTCTTAAGAAGTTGGGCAAGAAATGTATGGATACATCTAAAGTAAATTATTGCAATATTTACATTTATTCTATTGCAAAATGTATTCATATAAATGATGTCTTAAATATAATTTATTTGTCCTGTGTTCTGCTGTGGATGAGTTTTGTTTTTGTTGTGTTTCTCCTGTGTCTTTACAGTGATCAAAAGTAATGCTCTTATATCCTTATACTCTGCACACGACAATAAAGGCTTTCTTATTCCATATTCACAGAAAGCTTTACCAACGTATTTCGATCCACTATTATTTTAGGACAAATATTAAGACTATAAAACACAAGCAATAGACACACCTAATAAAAGGCAGCTAAAAAAAGGTCCTGAAGTGCAGTCGTACCCACCACAGACTCGCCTCTGGTGACGCAGATACAGAAATCAGTGAGAACTCCCCGTGACAAAGCAGTTTTCAGACTTCCCCCACTCACAAACACACGCTCACCTGAGTCAGGGAGCTGCACACGGACAGCGGCAGGTCCACCATGCGCAGGGCAGCCGCCTTGAAAGACAGCTGGGAGCTAGTGAGGGTCTCATGTGTCATTGTAACGATCTATCCATGACTGGGCAGCAACCCTCTTATCCTCATCGCCATTCTGCTGCAGCTGAGGGAGATGACATGCAAGGATTTAACCTTGGAGGCTCAGGAGGGGATACACTCACGTTATTACATAAAGGCACCGACATACAGTAAATGCAACCCTTGCCTCACCTGAAAGTAAGGCTTGTCAATCTGTATGTGGAAATATACTAAGATGCAAGACCAGAAAGACTGTGAAATGTGTGAGTCATTGGCACGCCCATAGAAGCATTTAAACTTTACCTTACATTATACTCATGTACAAACCAAGTGGCTTTCTGACTACAGATTAAGAGGCTTTGTTTTCCTATAAACCTAGCATTGCTTTGTCTTAACGAAGTAACAAAGTCTCTCACTATTAGACCTCAATTCTAATCTGTTGTCTATCCACCTGACAAGACAACATGCAGCATCCAATTAAAATGTGCACAAGGCTCATCACATGCATGGTTATCCCATTAGAGTCTTACCCTGACAAAATTACGATGCTTTGGCTCAAACATTTAACATTGCTACTTACTCCTAAAACATGCAGATTTCTAGTTGGAATTTTGTAAACCTGTATCCCCTCATTTGACTTTAAGAGATAGTTAGCGTGGGACTTTGTAGAAGCACAGATAGAGTGCTTTAACATATGGATATACTACTGACAAGTAAACTACTAAATGATGATGAAGCACAAGTCTGCCTCTTCATTAATATCTGCATTTAATCAATTGCAATCTATTCATTTAGAGATGTTTCACTTATTAATAGTTATTAAGACATTAATAAGAGAGCAAACTGATGTTATATCACGACTATATTGTGCTTGTATTTCCTACATCCAATTAGATACACTTCTGTATAATGGTATTGTATTTTAAATCACTTTAATTGCCTTTTCAGTGTGCTTTATATATTGTTATGATGATTTATTTGCCTCATGTGGAGCAGTGTTAACAGGTGATTTGCTATTTAAATACATATCATCACACTGATAAGACCTCTTCTCTTTATACATCCATGGATAACAATGACATATCCAAACTTCCATTCATTAGCATAACACCAAAAATACACAACAAATCAGCATTTTTTAAATCAAGTTTCAACTAACATTTTAAGGAGAACAACTCGGACATGAATAAGAAGAACAACACCCTCATGTTAGCTCAGGAACATATGAATGATTTTAGCTCATGGTTATGCAGTTAAAGCACTCAACAGTTATTGGCCTCGCGAAGCAGCTAATGCTAACTTATCTAACAAGGCTAATAACGGCTATCAACGTTAGCTTCATCAGTTGAACCGGCTTTAAATAAACAGACAAACAAGTCGACTCGTCCACATGGGTGGTTGTTTTTTACCCGAGTGTAAAAACGGTAGTTATGAATGGATTTACCTGAACATCTAGAGTTTTCCTCCGCACACACTGCTCCGGCTGACCTCAGTTGCTGCAGAGTGAAGGTCTCCAGCGGGACTTTCAAAATAAAAGAATGGCTCCCTGTCGTTGCTATGGAGTTTCAGCACCATCTCTTGGCCTTCTCAAAGTATTGCAAGTACAGTATATTTATTTTGTGAATTCACCTTAAAGTCCATACTAGGATTGCATTACAGCACTCAAATACACAGGGGGCCAAAATAAAAAAATCGGTACTAGTCGAGGGCCGGACTGTTTCAATGTTCATTGCAAAACTTATTGAAATTTACTTATTGCACATATTAAACCTGGAACTAACAAAGGTTAAATTATTGTCTATAAAAACAACATTAAACATGTATAATCCATCATGCATAAAGGTGTATATCGATTTTTTATTTTGTCTTGTTTGTATCTTGTTTTTAATTCATCAATATTCCCCCTTTTTAATTGTATTATTGAGCTACTGTAACAAGGCATTTCATCCTGGTGTGTGTTATCCACTATAAATGATATGATTGATTGCATGAATAATAGATAGATAAACCTTTGGTACTTATAAGTCAAAATGTTTGCTATTCAAATCAGGTTATTAGATACAAAAAGTTAAGTATGAGGGGGGAAATCAAATCAAAGACAAAAGGAAAGTCAATAATGTACATGAAAAGATGATGAGATAGTAACCATGAAGTGTGTGTTTGGCTTTGCTGAATGACAAATAAGCAAAAATACATGTAAATAAATATCACTTAAACATAGCAGAAAGGAGAAATAACTAATGTTGTGTTATCTTCAGTTGATTCAGTCTAAAAAGTAAAACACATTTTTTTTTTCTTTACGATTTTTATACTCAAAAATAAATGTATTATATTGTATTCTTATTATTTGTATTGTATTGATATGTATTTCCACACTGTTAGTATCACAAAATGCACCAAACACGCTTGATAGTGCTTGGGTTGGGTTGATTGTGTGTTGCCATCAAGTGTTACTGTAATTGTTCTCCTCTCTACTTTTCCCCAAAGCCAATGTATACTTAATTCAGGTAATACACCATTTTAAAGACACATATTTTGTATGTATTTATTATTAATCTCATTGCTTTTCATTACACATTTTCCACGCATGACATGGAAAGCAACACTACTACTATTTGTTAAGCTAATTAAGGATTGATGATACTGTATTAAAGTCAGAATGCTTCTACACAAACATAAAGCTCGTAACATTTAAAAAGCAAATATGAAATGTCTAGTGTAATATTTACAGTTGGATGGGAAGGGCTTTATGGTTTATGGGAAGTGTTTTCTTCTGTACCGGAAGAGGGGCGGAGAGACAGCTGTAACGTTAGCAACCACGCTGAGCGACAGGAACGATTATCGTTTATGTGAAGGATTTCTTGTTTGAAATATGTCTTAAAAACACACTGAATCCGTTTCTAAGACATCAAATAGCATTGGATATACCCAAGAAAACGTCGAGTCTTTTTAATCGTGCAGGTAAGGATCGAGGCTGATATTATTTCTGGATGCTAGCTAGCTCTCTGCTGACTTTAGTCACCGTGGGATTGCCAGTGATCATGTAATACAGGGACGTTAGCTTGCTAGCATTAGCCATGTTGCATGCTACGAACGAGATGGTTATCAATAGAAAACAATCTCTAAAAATATCACATATTGCTAATTATATCCACCGCTTGCTTACGAATATACTACAACTGCTATGGCTAGCCTTCGAAGCATTTATTTTAACTTGCTGAATAATTATTGGCTTAAAGGCTAATGCTAACATCGAAAGATTGCTAGTCAGACTGTGACGCTGTCAATGCCTCGCCTGCTTTTGACAGCTCAGTTTGAGAAATGGACAAGGCCAAAGCCACACGAAACGATATTTAATTTATGTTCTCCATTATGGGAGAGGCTTTGGCCTTGCTGAAATTAGTTGTCAGATGATCAGTTAAAATGTCGTTAACTGGCAGGTAACGGTACGTTTTCAAAATAGTGTTAATATGACCCTTCTGTGGTGGCTCTCCTTGCTAAATATTGTTATCAGGCTACTTTGGTTTAGTAATTGTGTACTTAGCAGTGTTAATGTACTGTTATTAAGCGTCTACAAGGAATCTCGGAACATCGGATCCATTTGTATTGCCTGGTTTTGGGTCAACGCCCCACCCAGACTGTACTGTAATACTTCTTTGTGCAGGATTAACCAGAGGTGGAACAAGTACTCAGATATTGTACTTAAGTAGAAGTACCAGAGTGTAGAAGTACTCTGTTACAAGTAAAAGTCCTGCATTCAAAATGTTACTCGAGTAAAAGTACAAAAGTATTAGCATCAACTACTTAAAGTACCAAAAGTAAAAGTACTCACTGTGCAGGTTGGCCCATTTTCTGAATAATATATTACATAATATATTTTGATTTAAAGTATTGATTCATTATTGTGTTAGCTAATTGAATGACTTTGTATACTGCAGGGTAGCTTGTGAATTTACTCCAGGTGTCATTTAAGTCTTATTTAAGTGTTGATTATATTTAACATAATTAATCCAAATTTGCAAAGTAACTTAAGGTATTAAGTACATGTTGGGGAGATAAAGTACCTTTGAATTGTAGTGGGTTAGAAGTACAAAGTAGCAAAAAACTGAAATACTCAAGTCCCTCAAAACTGTACAAAAGTACAGTACTTCAAGTCTTGAGTAAATGTACTTAGTTACCACTGTGCATGATTACATGTATCATTGTTGCGTAATCGCAGGAGCCTAGACTGTGAAACCACTGCCTAATAAGATGTTCCTTGTGTGTGTTTCTATAAGCTGTAACAGTGACTGATCTCTGTTGGAGGCACCGCAAGCTTGATCTTTTGACCTTATAACTGCTTGCTGCCAAAGTTCAAGGCAATTATAGAAGCCTCTAACACAAATACAACTGTGTGTGGCTTTGTTTCTCATCAGCTTTTTTGTGTCCTAAAGTACCTTGTAGAATGGATTATTGGAAGTCTTTATAAAGCACCTGATTATTCGCACATCATTTGGTTTCTGGTTGGTATAGCTCATGCTCACTCGTGTGGTTTGTACCATGATGATGTGATTTAAATGGGCTGAATCACGTGCAGCACAGTCGAGGGCTGCTTGCCCAGCTCTGCTGTCATCGTGCCATAAACACTTAAACACTCTTAAATGTGCAGCCGCCAACAAGGTCTACACTTTGTCACCTCACCATGAACAAAGTGGCCATACATTCAATGTTCTGGTGCCTTTACATGTTTTAGGTCTAAAAAGGCATTTTGTTATCAGAGAAAGTTGCTCAAAACAGGAAAAAACACATTATGATCAATATTGTTTTTACTTCTTAAGGACAGTGTAGATAAAGAGTGAATTATTTACATCTTGAGTGACTCCTGGAATGTATCTGCTATCTGATAATTGCTTTATCATGATATCATAATTGCTTTCGCTATCTCACTTCCTTACATTTCGTCTACTCAGTCACGGCATTTTTTTAAAGGGGCTTTGTTGACAGATGTACTTGTTGTCTTGAGTGAATGTGTCGTAGATCAAACCTCTGTGTTTGCCACTTAAGAGAAATGCCCTCTGCTCACAGTGAGACAGTTGTTTGCGTCATGATGCAGCAGTTATTCTAAAAACACAACCCTTGATTGACAGACTCCAGTAACCCAAGTCTTTTGTCACTCTTGAAGCCAATCTCCTGCTCCCATGAGGGCTTCGTGAAGCAGTGGATTTCCATTCTCAAGAAACCTGATAACAGAATCCTCCAGTGGTTTCCTGTCATCCCTGTACAGCGCTCATATGTCTGCTAGCTGTCGATCTTCCTCGTCTCCTACACACTGAAATAAAGAAGCACAAAGGACAGATCATAAACATATACCCGTTTGTATTAGGAACAAACAATCAAGAGCTAGAAATGTTTTTGGATAAATCCTTCCTGGAGTTGACATAAAACAGACTTTTTTTTAAATTCACCGGTTATTAGCAGAATGGAATACTTTTAAGATTTGCTCTAACTTATTCATAAATCTTATAGCCTGTGTCTCTGCTTTTCTTTCTGCATCGTCAGCCCTCCTATGATATAGCAGCAGCAACAACAGACTGCCTGTTCCACATTTGTTGTCAGCTGTAGCTGATCTCCTTCAGCGGCTGATATTTTGATATTTGATATACTTTATTAATCCCCGTGTGGAAATTGTTTGTCTGCATTTGACCCATCCTGTGTTAGGAGCAGTGGGCTGCCATTTTGAACGGCGCCCGGGGAGCAGTGTAGGGAACGGTGCCTTGCTCAGGGACACCTCTGTAGCACTTGGTCTTTCCGGGACTTGAACTGGTGACCTTCCAGTTGCCAAGCCAAGTCCCTATGGACTTCACCACCACCGCCCTAAATAGATAATAACAGGAATTTGTCGGTCGTGTTGCTGAGTTGGAAAAATGTGGCGGCGTCTCAGATTACAGTAGCCTGTTTCAGAGTGTGTCAGAAACAAGAAGTCCAACACTGTTTTTTAGTCACCTGAAAATGGTGTCTCATTACTCATTGTACCCCCGGTCTTCACTAACGCCGAGTTCTTTTAAGTCGCTGCTGAAAACACTACTTTTTTCAGCTGCTTACCCAGAAGCCCTTTAACTTGTTTTAGCACCTACTGCATTTACAATGTTGTTTTTAAACTATTCTGTATCTCTTGTATGCATGGTTCTTATGAATTCCATTATGTTCATTTATTGTGTTCCTTTCCGTTAAGTGTTAATGATGATGTCAAGCACTTTGAATTGCCTCTGTGTCTGAAAATGTGCTATATAAATAAACGTACATCCATCTTTCTCTCTCTCTCAGACCTGTGTGTGAGTGATGTCTCCGGGGTCCAGCTGTGACTGTCCCCACCTGGACTGTGTGGGGGAAATCACCAAGGAGGAACTCATTCAGAAATCCCATGTGAGTCATCCACCCTCCATCATGGCTCTGTCCACAGCCCTACTTATAACATACTTCTCTTTTTAAAAATCTTATAATAACATGGTGTCTATCTGCTAAATGCAGCAGCTAAGCTCTTTCT